CGAATGGTGACCTTCTGCGGGATGGACGCTGGGAGCGCCCGTAACGCGAGAAGGATGTGAACGAATGGCGGCGGTCGGGTGCGGAGGTCGGCCCTGCCGCTTATGGGGGACGCCGGTATAGAGACGGAGAGCTCGCAACTCTGGAGTCATAAAGCTTAGACTGATGGTTAATTATCCCTATTGTGGTTCTTGAGTATGATAGCCGTTGCACACTAGCTGCATCTGTGCATGAAAGTATTCTGACTAACTCGTGCACACTGCACAGTGCACATTATTATACTTTTTAATTTACGCTTCAACCCCGCCAGCAGCTATTTGTCATGGAAAGGATGGTATGTCAGTAGACTTGTAAGACCTACCGGTGCGAGCGTGCGAGCTGCTCAAGCAGTTAGTTTAGATGTAAAGTCTCTTGCTTCCTTCAAGGGCGCAATTCTTTCATGTCTAAGCCGGATAAGTAGCACATAAATAGATAAGGCTTTGGCCTATTCAAGCTCATGGGACCAAGTCGACCTTGAGAGGATATTGCAGTCTCAGTATGCCATGTGGCTCTTTTATTGCCCGCTTATCGTATGTTCTACCCGGGTATGATTCCACATCCCTCCCAATGGCTGCCCCAAGCCTCGGGAAGCACCTGTGGAGGTATGTGGCGTCACTGACGGACGGTGGCACGGGCGTCATTGGACGTGAGGCGCAGCTCGCTGACGGGTGGCGTTGGCTTCCGCTTATGACGTTCCGTGGGTTTCCTGGAATAAGAGAAGTCCCCTTTCGGATGGCGGTGCGTCTGTCCGTGGTACGCATGCATAGTTACTTGGGACAAAATTATGTTGGTTGGGTTTCGAATTTATTTCATCCTGAATCCCAGCCTAAGCTCTCCGCAAACGATACATCGCCTTATCTACACACGAGCGTCAGAAGCTCAGTTTTGACAGCCGTCCACAACAGTTTGTTTATCGACTCTCCAACACGCCGATTATGGTGTTTTTTGTGTGGCGGGCGGCGCGGCGGGCCGGTGCGTGATTCGGCAGCAGTCGGAGGGATGTAACCGTCAGCCGTATCGTGTCCCTCGTGGGAGGGTCGCTCATTCATCCACTGGAGCCGGCCATTCAGCGAGCTCCATTGTGTTCACGCGGGCCGTTCACGGTAGGGCCCTCAGTGGGGTCTTCTTCTCCTGGGCGATCCACCCTGTCTCGGTATATGGGATTTGTATAAGGGCTAGCTGTCGCTTCTTCAGCTATTTATCCGCACTCTCGCCTGCCCATGCTAATGGTTTCCTGTGTGTCATTGCCAGTCATTCCTGTCTGAGGTGTGCGACCAGTTTGATGGGTGCAGCGCAGTGTTGTGGGTGCGGGTGCAGCGCAGTGTTGTGGGTGTGGGTGCAACGCGTAGTTGTGGGTGCGGTGGCCCATGGGCGTCATGTGCGTACCGCGCACTCGCGCCGCTCTCCTCCCTCCCGGCACGGGAGAGATGGCCTCCACCCACCCAACCTCGGATCACGTCATCCCGTAGTGCCCCGTCACGGTCATCACACGGCGGCGCACCTCCGCGCCACCAGCGCCGCACACCGCCGCTGCTCGTCACTGCCGCGCCGCTGCTCGTCACTGGCGAATAAGCAGCGTGGCGCAGCGCGCAATGAGCGCTGCGCGGTCGGCTGGCGGGGGTGGTGCGCCCGCGTGCCGTCTGTCGAGTCCCTTCCGCCGCCTCCCGTCTGTCTCTCCTAGCTGACCAGGGTGCAGTGCACACTGCATGCGGCTGATGACCAGCTGGACAGCGCGGCTAATTAGCGAGGCTCGAGCCCAAGCGAATGTCGTTTGACTGAGTTTGACTGGGTTCGGCTGAGTACGGACTGGGCTTGGCTGTGTTCGTCTGAGTTTGGCTGAGTTTGCCGAGCTCATCTTAGCCATGGATACGTTCCAAGCTATCGACACCAGCTTTAAATGTTCCCCGGGCGGTGATTCGTCAACCCGGGCGGTCCGATTTGACGTCGGTCGATTTCCGGTCCTAACCCCGCTGCGCGCGCTCCGAGAGGCACGGACCCCGGGCGCTGCCTCACCGCAGCGGAGCTCATTTCGCCGCTGGTGGAACACTGTCTCACCGCAGTGAGGTAATGCCGGAGGCGGCGTCTCACCTCGGCTCGCGGCCGCCCCGGGAGGCGCCCCACCGCCGGCGTTCGTTAGCTGACCTAATGGAATCGCCGGCGATGAAAATATCTCCAATTGCGACCGGAATTTCAGACTCCCGGCTCTAGCAAATTAGCTCGGGCTCGGCCAAGCTCACCGGGTGCAAATTGACCTGGCCGGTCCGCGTGCCCGGGGACTCCAATCAATAGCCACCGGGGCCGAACGGCGCCGCCGGCACTATCTGGAGTGCCGCCCGCATGACCCTCCGGCTGACCTGGATCGGCCCGCGGCGTGTCGGGGCGGCCGTCATATCCCTCCCCCCCCCCCCCCCGGGGGAGGGAGGGCTGAGTCATCGGACACGTTTTTGTTAGTGTCGTGTCGCCCGACTGTGTGCCGTGTGGGGCCCGCATGCAATCGCTGCTGTTCCGTGGGATGAGCTATACGGTATGCCTACAGCCTGGGTGGCTGGTCAGTGGTCGTGCTGACAGCTATGAAGATATGACGGACGGTATGATAAAAGAGACTGTATGTACTGTTCTGATGCAACATTTGCTTTAGTTATAATGCACTCTTTCTAAGTCACGATCCAATTCCATGCATGCCATCGTAAATAGCATTTTCGATACTATCGTGTTATGTATTTACCTTATTCTTTAGCGGCATTCACATTGCCTTTTTGAATCGCGGACCATTTTGTGACCATGAACGATATCCGGTGCGGGGGCTGTTGGGTTCTGTGAGGCCTGCAGGAAGTCTGCTGTCTCGTTTTTACACCCAACTGCAAAAACCGCAAATTGAAGACGCAGGGCGCCGCTCCTGTATATTCCGTTCCATGGGTATCACATTACACTGGATCCTGGTGCACGAATTGAACTCATCGGCGCATGGCAAAGTGATACTCGATTACCGCTTACGGCTCGCCGTTCGGGAATTTAGTACACTCTTTATTAGCGACCAATAGGAGCTGATTGCCAGTTCATTCCGTAGTGCGCTATTCGCTCAATCTGACGGCAGCTTCGTGCCGCAGTTCTGGGAAATTGCAGCTCTGGTGCGCCATCAGCCCGACTCGGCGTGGTCTACTCGTCATTTGTGCGGGATTTACGCAGAGTGGTTTCGGCGAATTTCCGGCACCGTTCGCCGTCTGGCTGGCTGACTGGCGAGCTGCGCCGACTCTGAAGGTGACCCCAGCCGAGCTCGTGGCTCGAGCGGCCCCACCCACCCGCCTCGCTCGCCGGGTGACGCTGCTGCGGAGACGCGCCGGAGAGGTGTGAGATGTGTCGTCTGTGTCAACTCGCGAGCCACACGTGTCAGTCTGTATGTCGGGTGCATCCACCCCGGCCGGCGGGCCCCGTCTCGGCCGTCCCGCCCAAAGTAAACGTCCGTCTTTGGCGTTGTTTCGCAGTTGGTTGTCTCGGCAATTGCGGCCAATTGCAGTGGAGCTGCGCCGTTGCCGTTGAATCATGTCGTTCGCACAACAAAGGTGCTGAACGCCGTCTTCCTGGGCGGCGGCGGTGGCGGCGGCGGGGGCCGGGGCGGCGGCGGGGGCGGGGGCGGCGGCGGGGGCGGCGCGCGTTACCGGCCGCCGCCGGTCATGGTACTCCCATGGCGGCGCGGCCTCGACCCCGGCTGATGGATGGACACGCGCGGCCTCCGGCGGCCGCCTCAGCTCGGCTACAGCTCGGCTTCAGCTCGGCTCGGAGCCTGGCCCTGGAGTCCGGCACCGCATCCCAGCCCACAGCCTGGTGTTCCGTCTCAGCTCGGCTCAGAGCTCTGCCCCAGCGCAGAATTCCAGGCTGGCTGGCCAGTGCAGCGGCCAGCTCGCTGCCCGGTCGGCTCCCGCAGCCGTCCGGGCAGCCCTGCGCGTTGTCGCAGTTAGCTGCAGCTGCAATTGCTGGGGAGTTCCGGCGTTCCCTCTACGCAGCTGGTCCCCGCGCTGCCCGCAGTTGGCTGTTTGTAATGGTCACCACTGTGCCGTGTCGGGGGCACGGCTGCTGTCTGGCCGGAGAGGGCTGCGAGTGGTTTACTGCTCACCTGTCCTTCAGAGTCCGACCGACATCCGGGCTACTTAGAGACGGTCGTAAGTCTGCAGATTTGCCAGCAGAGTGAATTAGGTGGCAGATCATCGGGTACGGGCTACCTTCAACATGATGGATCTGCTATTTGCTTACATTAGTTCGGTTAGGGAATATAAATAGTGTGTAACGTGGGAATCAAATGGGCCATAAATAAAGGTGCAAAACGGCCTCGATTACTACTTAAACGAGTACCCCATATCAGAGTTTGTTATATTTTCCGACCAACTACTGGCGTTCGGCTGTCCTCATCGGGCGTCCGCTTACGACCGTCCGTGTCGTGGCCGGCCGTCGTTGTGTCGTGCTGATATCCAGCGGACGGGTTGGCGCACGCCTGAGCCGGCTGACCCCTGACCCGTCGCGGGACACTGACCCGTGACCGTCACCGGTCGCCGCCGCCACCCCCGACACCGGAGATCTCTATCAGAGCGCGATCGGGCCCCTGTCGCCGTGAGGTCTCTATCGATGGACAGGTGTAGCCGGAGCTGCGCGCGGCTCTAGACGGTTCCCCGTGGCGAGCTGCCGCGTCCGGCGCCGCTCCGGGCCGCCTCAGCCGTGTCCTGAAGGCCTGACGGCGGCAGACCGTCACTCGCTGTCACGCCAAGCCGTAACAGCACACCTGGAGCTCGACGGCTGTGCGCACGGGCGATATAAGTTCGGTCTCGGGCTGTCGCAGAATGGTTTCTTTGAAGGTCAGCTGGCGGCGGTGCGGCGTTCTGCCGACAGAGCGCGCCACCGCCGCCGGCGCGCCGCGCTCGACACGGCCGCGGTGCCGGCCGACACGCCATGTGATAGTGGCAGTGGGCGTCGCGCCGCCACCGGGGTAGCAGTGATGCGCCCGTGACGTGACAGAGTGACGCTCGTGACGTGCAGGGTGACGATGATTGACCGGCGCGCGCTGTGATTGACCTGTGATGGAGTGAGGAACAGAGCTGCGCGTCATGACGCAGAACACGAGTCCGCCGCGGCGGAAAATATCGCCGCGGATCCGCGACCTGCAGACGCGGCTGCTGAAAGTGATTCCTCCGCCGGGCGCGGAGGAGGACCAGCGCCGTGGCGAGCACCAGCGCTGGGCGGTGACCCAGCGCGGTCAGCAGCGGGCCGATCATCCTAGCTCGCTGACCGGCCGACAGCTGGTGGACTCTGACCAGTCCGATGGTCCCCCACCGCCGCAGGGCCGGCCGCGCGCCCGCCTGGAGCGCTCCAAAATCATCACCAAACACTGGGAGCGGCCCGATCTGTTCGTGCGCCACGAGGAGCCGCGCCGATCGCGACGGACAGTGCCCGCTGACGATGTGAGCGATATGGACGAGCTGGAGCGCGCGGACGGGGCGCAGCGCTGGGTGCGGAACTTTGACCATGTGCCGGACGGGACGCCGCACGGGGCCCCGGACATGTACTCTCGATCGTGGGACCCGAGTCGGGACCGGCGGCACGCGACATGGGACCCGGCGAGGGCGAGTCGCTCGCGGACTTACGACCCTGCTGCCCTGGAGCGAACGCACCAGTCGCGCGAGAGGCTATCGTATCGTGTAAGGTCCCGAGACCCGACTCCGGAGGGTCGCCAGCCTCCACGGGAGCCGCGGGACAGCTCCCGACACCGTCGGCACCGTGACCCGACCCCGGACAGGTCACAGAGACCCTCAGATGACCCCCGCCGTGTGTCGGACCGGTCACGACACAGGAGTGGGGACGGGGGGAGAGACAGGGACCGGGACCGGGGCAGAGATGTGAGTCGGGAGTGGAACAGGGACTGGAGCTGGGACAGGAGTCGGGACAGGAGCCGGCAGCGCGCGCAGAGTGGGGACAGAGTCAGAGCACACAGTGGGGACCGACTGCTGGACGAGCGGGGGTCGCGCGGCCGGCGGCGCACGCCAGCGGAACCCCCGCAGCGGCGCAGCAAGAGTGTGGTGCGGTTCGACGAGGGGACGCGGGACTCGGAGCGTCGGCACCGCAGCCGTTCGACGGAACAGGTGACCGGCGCTCCGCGGCGCGGCAGCGCGCTCCGAAAGAGCACCGGCGCCGGCCGCGGCGCGCGCGTCTCGTTCGTCGAGCTCGGCGACGGCACGGTGCTCAATGGCGACTGGGAGAGCAGCGACGAGGCCGAGAGCACGCCCACCGTGGCGCCCGACCTGTTCGACCGCTTCTTCTTCCCAAGTGACGGCTACTTGGACGACTACTTCCGTCAGTCGGCGGCCGGGCCGCTGTCGCTGCCGGAGGGGCGCCGCGAGCGACCGAGGCCCTCCGGCCCCGCCCGACCCGGCTCGGCCGCCGCCGGCAGACCTGGCGAGCCGCCGGGCGGCCGTCGGTACCGGCGACACCGCACTCCCGACCGCAACAACAACAACCGGTACCGGGCCAAGAGCGAGGCGCGTCTGACGGCCGTGTCGGTGTCGGCGGCGGGCGGCGCGCGGCCGTCGGCGCCCCGGCAGCCGCCGCGGGGCCGGCTGCCCGACGGTCAGACCGACTATCGGCGCAGCTGGGACGCCATCGGACACCGGACGGCGGCGGCGCCGGCCGGCCGCCGCACCCGCGTCCAGTTCGGTAAGTGGTCGCCGGCCACCGGAGGTCACAGGTCGCCGCTGGGCGCTCCGGAGTGGCCGCCGGGAGTGCACGGCATGCACCGCGAGCCGGCGGTGGACATTCTCATGGCTCGTAACCGACGGAAAACGGGGTATGTCAGGTGTGTGAATTTGAGGACGGCTAACGCTGACTTGTGCAGGACGTTATACAGGCCGGGGTCATTTTGTGGTAACCCTTGCAAATGGAGTACCCAGGTAACTAGTGTTCCAGGTTCGGGTTAGTTGATCGCGCAGATAACAGTGAAATGCAGCGTCCGCTGTTCTTTTTTCGCCGTCTGCTCCATAACTCTCGTAATCCATTTGCACTACAGTTGCTAGATGATGCATATTGCGTTCGACACGATATGCGCACGTGTATACGCGATTTTAATTACCATTTGCGACACGATTCGGCAATCCTCTTACCTAGCATACGACACCTTGATCATGTACGAGTTATGCATAGCTCTGAAGCAACATGCTTGAGCAAAGCAGACGGCCTGTCAGCACTCCACAGAACATGCAAAAACAGCTCACAGCCGACTTATCACATATCCTATCTTATCGCCTTCATCGTCTGGTAGCGGCAGCGGTAGGCTCAACACCAACAGTAGCAGTAGCAGTCGCGCGGCAGCGGCGGCAGCGGCGGCTCATGGCCGGGCTGCGGTCGCCGGCGGCCGGTGCGTTCCCACGCGGTGGGCCGGCGCCGAGCGACCGGTGCATGCCTGGCGGGCGGCCGTCGGCGGCGGCGGCGCCCACCGCTGGCCGGCCGTCCCCGCCGCGCCTGTGACGCCGCTAAACGGCCGCTAATGGGACGGCGGTGGACCGGCCGGAATGCTGACGGCTGCCGACCACTGCGCGCCCGAGCGTACTTCTTATCCAGTGTCTCTCACTCTGGCTGGTGGTGGTCAGCCGGGTCTCTGGTTACCTTTTGCTATCGGCATCATCCGCCAGTCGACTGCCGTGCGGCCGAGTGGCTATTGTCGCTCGTTTAGCACGAACAGACTCGCCAGATGGCCGGCTCGGTGACAGTCGCTTCCTGTCGAACACCATAACTGCTGCGCTGGCACTATGGCTCGGCCGACGCCCGAGGTATGGCGAGCTGGCGCAGCTCCACCGTTAACTCAGGGCCGTAAGCTGGTGCCGCCCGGTCGACAGCCTGAGTGTAGGTGGCTGGCGCAGCCAGGCGAGCCAGTTCGAATCGGATTGGCGGACTGAAAGGTTTCAGTAGCGTCTTGGGCTGGACGGCCACGCCCACGAACACTGACCGCCCAGTACTAACGGCCGAGCCCGCGAGATTCACTGTGGCCTGGCTCATGTCACTTGGCGTGTGCGAATATGAAAACGAATGTGATGCTGAGTGTCGCTTTTCCTCAGCTTTTCAATGAGCGCTTTTCTGCTGCGCTGTGATATTTGCGGTCGTTTTCGCGTCGGCATTACGACACGCTGTTTTTCCATTTGCGCAAATGTGCAGTTTGCACGCTCGACTGACTTCTCATTTCTCATTGTGATTTTCATTTTTCTTGCTGTTTGCCGTCCTGTCTCGTGCGGCTAATTTGTTTGTACTCCAGTTGGCACGGGCGTCATCCAACCCTGACCTCGAAATCCCAAATCATCATCATCATCGTCACCATCATCATCATTATCAGCGTCACCGGGTCTCCTGTCGTTAGCGAGCGATCTCTGCGGACACACCGTAGAGTCTGGTGTCTTTCGCAGATCGCGGCGGTCATTTGAGTCGCTCACCCGGAGGCGTGGTCTCTGGCGGCGATTTCTGCAGCGTTCAGTCGTCGCTCTATGGGTAGGAAGCCCCGCAGTTGAACAGCCGAAGTTGGTGCTGGCGGCTGTCAGGAGGGATGGTCTTGAGACAGCGCCTGTCAGTAGGGATAGTCGGGTTCGATGGTTGTCGGGAGAGCCAAAGTTAGATGCCCAGAATCGGTAGCTTTCGGTACGAGTAGACCATGCCGGTCGTCCGTAACACGCGGACGGGGACTGGCGTTCCGCCGGTGGCCGCCAAGCGCCGGGCAAGGCCGCCACCTTGGGCGGTGCCGGTCGCGGTGCTGAGCTAACCACCACCTGTCGCTGCCGTCTGACAAAGTGACTGCGGCACCTGCCGTTGGCGCGGCGCCCCGCCCGCCCGCTGCAACTAATGCAGGACGGCGGCCGGACCTCTGTGTGTTATTTACAGAGGTAATCTGGCCGTCCGTCGGACTTGGGTCTGTCCGGGCGGCAGACAGCGGACACGGGGGCCCGCGAGACGAAGTTTCCTTCAAATCCACCAACGACGTCTCGTCTCCGAGCGGTCGCCAGCCGCTAACAAATGCGAATCCGGGCTCATGCTCGCGGCGCCGATCCGTCTTTGGCTCAGAGGAGCGAGGTCAACGTGCGATTTATGATGGTTTGTTAGCTCTCCGAATTCACGTCATAATGGTCGACCGGTCCGGGATTTTTGTGCGCCAATAAAAAGCAGCTCCGTAGTTTTGTGCGGCGGCGGCGGTTTTTCGGAGCGTGCCGCTCTCCGGCGGTGAGTCACCCGGCGCGCTCTGAGTGGTCGATGGGACGGACTGTGCCGTTCTGCCCGGGCCGGGCCGGAAACTCGTCACGGTGACGGTCACTGCGCCGCGGGTCGCGCTGCCGGCCCGGTCCTCTCCCCGGGCAGAGGGGCGGTATCAGTGGGCGCGGCGACCAATCATCATCATCATCGGATCGTCTCATATCCTGGGACCGCGTGGCTCGACCGCCGCTGGGGGCAGGGCTTGGATCAGCCGCGCATTATCGGATCGCCGTTTAGAGACCGACAAAAAAATGTTCTGTCTCCATGGGAATTGTCGCTGGTCGCTATTATAGACCCGCGGGTCACCATGTGAACACCCCTGCGGTAACCATAACACCCCGGGCAGGGCTGGGCTCCCTTCCCGTATCCCGAGGAGCACTGCAGCAGCCGCACCATCTCCTGTCACGCCCGCCGTGGGAGCGGGCGGCGTCTGCCGCCGCTGGCCGTGACCGCTGCCGGCCGGTCGTGACGGGGGCGGCGGCGGTACCGACCCCGCATACCGAGCCGGCGGCACACTCACGGCGCGCCGCCGGGGAGTCGCCGCGCCCCGCGCCGGGTCCGGGGCCAAGGCCCCTGCCCCCTCCAGTCCTCATGGATCCGGCCGCGTACCGTGACCATGCTCGTAAATACAACTGGTGGGATTACAGCGTTAGAGAATTGGTGCCATGAACGGTTGGGCTGGACTGAGAGGACCGTCCGACTGTCCGACTATTGGATTGTTGGATCCTCGTCGGTTGATAAGTTGCCCGGATCTGCGAGTCGGTGAATTGCCTGGAACTGTCGGACCGATACCCTGCCCGGAACTGTCTGATGGCCGGCCCGGCCGGCCGGCTGCGGCGAGCCCCGCGCAGCGCGCTGCGCAGTTACTCAGCACTAAAATCAATGACAGCGCGGCGCGTCGGTCGGCTCAGCATCCCGCGTCCCGCCGCGGCCGGCAATGGGCGCACATCTGTTACCGGGAGTACGGGCTAATGTCGGTCCGCGGAGCGCTCAGAGCGCCGCCGCTCGGCGCGGAAGGAGCGAGAGCTGCGGCCTTCGCCACCAGCCGCCGGTGCTTATGCCGCCGCTCGCCGGAGCTGTATGCATTGAATGTTTATTCAGCGCCATGAGCCGGTGCCGCCCGGTGCTCCATCATACCTGCCCGGCTTTCTGCAGGTCGTGCCGAGCCGAGGTCGTGTTCCCCACGGGTGCGTATTATTTAGGCCAGGGTTCATAATGTCCAGGGTACGATGTGTCCAGTGCTCGAAATGGCCAGTGCCTTGAATTGGCCAGTGTTCATATTGTCCAGGGTTTGCATGGTCCAAATGTGGCCAACTGGCTGCAGATAGGGTAAATTCAAAGAGGCCAGGGTTCATAATGTCCAGGGAACGATGTGTCCAGTGCTCGAAATGGCCAGGGTTCATAATGTCCAGGGCACGATGTGTCCAGTGTTCGAAATGGCCAGGGTTCATAATGTCCAGGGCACGATGTGTCCAGTGTTCAAAATGGCCAGTGCCTTGAATTGGCCAGAGTTCATAGTGTCCAGGGATTACACAGTCAACCAAACCAAACCAAACCTAACCTAACCTAACCTAACCTAACCTAAGGTAATGATGTTTGCCTACCGGGGATAAGGAAATAGTTTCTCGCATGAATAGATTGCAAGCAATAGTAAATCAAATATTTTTAGGTTAAGTGGTTATGTATCTGGCTTCAGGCCTTCGGCCTGAAGCCTGATGCATAACCACTTAACCTAAAAATATTTGATTTACTATTGCCTGTAATCTCTCCTAAGGCATTGCCTTCGGCACTGCACTGCTTCGCATTGAGCTGGTTCCGTGTTTTTACATAATGACGTCACTTTCAATGACTATGTAATCCCTGGACATTATGAACTCTGGCCCATTCAAGGCACTGGCCATTTTGAACACTGGACACATCGTTCCCTGGACATTATGAACCCTGGCCATTTCGAACACTGGACACATCGTGTCCTGGACATTATGAACCCTGGCCATTTCGAACACTGGACACGTCGTGCCCTGGACATTATGAACCCTGGCCTCTTTGAATATACCCTATCTGCAGCCAGTTGGCCGCATTTAGACCATGCAATCCCTGGACATTATGAACTCTGGCCTATTCAAGGCACTGGCCATTTCGACACTGGGCATATAGTACCCTGGACATTATGAACCCTGGCCAGAATGAATGTTCCCCGTTCCCCACCTTGCTCCCGGCGAGATACGCCGTCCTCGGCGAGCGCTCCTGGTATCGAACGAGCTGTCGAACCGCCGCCGGGCTGTCGCGGGCCGGGTGGGGACTATCAAAGCTCTCCCCACTCAGCTGTGTTGTGTTTCTCGCCAGCCGCAATTAAGCTGTATGCGGAGCACATTAGCGAATCACGCTGAGAAGCGGGTTAGCGGCGCCGTCCGTGTCGGCCCGCCAAAGTGCCGCCTCACGAGGCGCCCCCGGCGCGGCGCCGGGTGTGCCGGTGTTACCGCCCGGCCCGCGGCCGTGTCATTCAAGTCTCGTTACCTCGCGGCACAGTCTAACCGCCGACCTTCAGCGGAGGGCGGCTGGGTACTGGGCGACTGCGACGCAGCACAGGCACACAGCCTGACGGAATGGCCGGCACGGGTGACCGGCGCTGCGCAGTCCGCCGCGGCGCGGCTGGTTTCTCCACCGCATGACGACCTGCTGTTAGACCCAGACAGGCACGGGACTCTCCCTTGTTGACTCTGAGCTATTGCTGCAAATGAGTGATGTCAGTTGACTGCTAAATGTATGACAAACTGTAGCCAGGTGCCTCTGCGATCGGCCCGTCATGACTTCGTGTCCTCTGGCCGTCTCATCACGTCCCACGCCGTGCGTCACCTCTGGGCGGGTTTCGAGACGCTGTCCGCACCGGCGGCGGCGTGCGCCGGCCTGTGACGGCACGTCACGTCACGTCGCCGTACTGTCACGTCACGCCCGCGTCACGTTTGTCCCCAGAGAGATGGCTGCCTCAGTGACGGTGGTCGGGCGTCGCTCTCCGTCGTTCGGCGCGTCTCTGATAGACGGAGACCGGGCGGAGGAGCGGCTGCGGACGCGGGCTGACGGATCGCCGCGGACGGAACTGGCGCCGGCCGATCGCTCAGACAGGCGTGGTCGGCGGCGCGGCGGTAGCCGGGCGGCTGTCCGCCGGCCACGCGCGCGTCTGCCGCGGGGTCGGTGATCGCACACACGCGCTGTCGATCTGTTGGGGCCATCGGACGATGAGCTCAATCGGCCTAAATGGACGCGCCGTGTCACGCACTGGTGCCGGTCCGTCCGCGCGCCCGTCGGTGCCTGGGATTCATCACTGCGGCCCGGATTGCACCAGCAAGGGCGGGGGAGTTGTCATACAGACCAGCCCCGTCGCTCTGTACCCGGATTTGCGCGGAGCACGGACCGTCGCGCCCCGCCGCGCCGCTCCGGCCATACCGTGCCGGACGCGGCGGCTCGCACCTAATTTATCACCGATTCCCACGGACGGTGTGGCCTCCCACACGTCAGTTCCGGGCCGCGGCGGGTGCGGCCGGCACGGCTATAGCCACTTGGCTTGCCGGGAGGAAAAAAAAGGGCCGCCGCTCGGCTGCTCCTGATCTGCTGCAGGCGGGCCGGGAAGGTCGGTCGTGAGCGTCAGCGGGGTCGATCGCTAAACGACCGTTTGTCATAACTAACGCACGCAGGCGGCTCCAACTCGGCGGCGGGTTCGATCCAGCCGACGGTGGACCGCAGTCAGTTATCGGCGCCGTGTCGGCGTTCACTGCGCTACCGGATCCAGCCGCCCACCGGTAACAGTGTAAGCCCGCACACCCGGTAAGTTACCGCACCGACACCGCGTTACGGTGGTATTACGGTAACACCCGGGAGGCGTTACGACCTCACAGGGCCGTCACGTCACGTGTCACCTGGCGGCGCGCCATGCGTCACGCGCGGCGGACCGGAGGCGAGAAACCGCGCACGACGTGCGATGTATCGGCGCAGCAGACAGGTAACGGTGGCGCGGGGAGTGTGACACCATCGGGGCGGAGTGTGACGGACCGCGCCGCCGCCCGTCTCCGCTGATACTCGGCCCGCGCACCGCCCGGAACGACCCGCTGCACTCTCTGGGGTGGCGCCGCACCGCGCCCGGCCGCCGAACCGTACCGCTAGCGGCGGCCCCGGCGGCGAGCGGCGGCAAGCGGCACCTACAGATGGTCCACAGCGCCTGCCTTTCAGCATGGGCACCGGGCCATGGGACTGTATGCAAACGCCGCGGCCACTTTCGGTTTCGGGTAGCTAATTTCGTCAGCTTCCTTTCCGGGTGCCGGTGGCGGCGCCGGGTAGTTTGCATGCGGAATGCGAGGGCAAATAGGAAAGGAATTATGAATATAGAGGAGTCGAGAGTGATCTGTTGGACACGAAGACGAATGGTGGGCACTCGCTGCCTTGAGCGGCAGTCGTACCCCGAAAGGCCATTTTTCACGGCTCGTGTTTGTGATTCCATGCAAGCTGTCGGTTGTCGTGCAGATAAATGAGCAGTTAGATGCCGACGGACGGTCGGTACAAGGCATGTGAACAGGTTATCTATAAAGCGGCGCTGGTATTGAGTTATGCTGCTGGGCCTCGCCTTTCTTGACCGGCGTCCGTCTGTGCCATTCAGTCTAAGAGAGAACCTGATGCCGAGTACCACCGTGGCATCCTGCCGGTGCCGGGCCGATGTGTTTGTCAGTGTGGTTCGTGTCGTGCCGGTCCGGTGACGGGGCGCGGGCGGACGGTGTGATTGCCCGGCGGCCGGCCGGGGTGCCGCCCGCCGCCGCCGCCGGCGTTGCAGACAACAATGGCGCTCGTGTGCGCCCGCACGCAATACCGTCATCGGAGCCGCAGTGCCGGCGGGGAGTCACGTCTGAGCCAGCCGCCCCCGCCTCCGCCCTGGCTTGTTCACGAACTTCTCCAAACTGCCGCCGCCCCCGCTTTGATAACAACCCTCACACCGACCCGGCCAAACCTATAACAGGTCCGCCGAATGTCTCACCACACGTGCTATGTGTGCTATCAACTCGGCCTCATCAGAGACCATAGAGCACCCGCCGACCTCATACCCGGTCACGGTGACCCTGTGCCGCACCACGCCGAACAGCGGCCCGGTCACGGCTGGAGGCGCCCGGCGCAGTCCCGGCCGTCTACGCCGCCCGTTCCGAGCCGTTTACTGTTCAGCGGTTGATGGATTGACTGTGGGCCAATGGTGACAGGCGGCGGACGCACGGCGCCGTGCAGTTCGCCGTGGGATATGGCCGGTGACCGGGTGGTAAACGGACGGCAGATTAGCGGCCGGTTCTGGCTTTCGTAAGACTCAATCAACGTCGATGGCTGTAGAGGCACGTGTCGGTCGTACGGGCCGATAGTCTCGTGGCTGGGATTGATACTGTGCGGACGGCGGTCTGTCACGGCCGGCGCGTTACTGTCTGTGTGCGCGGGTCGGGGTCGTGACCTCTGACCCGGCGTGTCACGGGTCGGGGCCGGCCGTCACCGCCGCGCCGTCGCTAGCCGCCGCTGGCCGGTTGTTTGTACACATTGCAGCGGCGCGGCGGGCGGCTGTCAGTCAGTCTCCACAGGAGGCGGGTCGGTGGGCTGACTGGGCGAGAGGCAGACGGACGGACAGCGGCCGGCCGCGGCGGACCCCCGGGACGCCTGCCGTCCGCCCCTGACACGGGGCTGTCAGTGTGCCGCTCTGCGCTGGGTGGGCTGCCAGGGTGGCACCGGTCGGCTGCAGGGAGGCCCTGGGGCTCAGCGACGGCGAGGTGACTGTGAACAGTGCAAAGAGAGGGTGGCTGCGGCAGCACACAATACTCGATGCTTGTTAAGCACCGTCGCGAGCCGTGAGTGCTCGCGACGTTGCAATGCGCTGGACGTTGCGACAGCGTTGTCCCGGCCCAGGCCGTCCCCACATCCGGCCCTGTCCCCGCCCCTGGATCAGCTCAAGTCACTGCCCTGGCCCCCGGCCGTCCCCAGCCTTTCCCCAGGCTCAGCTCAAGCTCGATTTCCAGGCCCGGGGCTACGCTGAAATGTTGCTCGGTAGTAGGCTCGAGTGTTGCGCACCATAGCACCAGCAGCGCCGAGGTCGGGGCGTTATCCAGTTTCCGGTGAAAGGGGCCGTCACCACTCTACATGGCCTGGTTGCAGAGGGTGTCGGTGCAGCCCGTCGATGGCGACGGCGACACGCTGCGCCGTGTACCCTCTCCGAGCCGGAGCCTTTTCTCGGTACCACCCGAGTCGAGCTCGATTCTCAGGCCCGGCGGACGAGCTGGCGCACCGTCCCGGACTTGGATGCCGACACGATTCCGTGCCAGGAGAAAAATCCCTGGATTTTATTGGTGCCAGCCTGTCGTAGGCTGATGGGTTTTATTTGATTCCTTTCGGTCGTGGATTCCTTTGATGCGCGGTCGATCAATAGCGAACCGTATTGACCTGACGCAGCTGGTGGAAAACCACGCCTTCACGGGCGCGACTGGTTGGACCGCTCGGTGGGGGCTGACAAATGCAGACTGACGTGGTTCGCCTGAACTGGAAAAGAATGGCTCTTATAATAAATATAAATCTCTGACGCTACTTTGCGCGGTACTATCAGCTGTCTTCAGTTTTCTTCAAATATCCGGCGGCTCTGCCATCATGATTCGCGAGGTGCCCCTACTGCATACCAAGGCGGGGAAGGAGTTTGGCGGTACTGCTGCCGCGGCTGCTGTCCATTCAATATGCCCAGCACCACTGTCTCCCCTCCCCACCCCCTCTTCCTCCGTGCCACCGAGTTTGCTCTGTAAATGTTTGATCGAGTGACCGCTCCTTCCGAGCAGATTCGATCCCCTGCGGCGTCCGCTGCGGAGGCTGAGCAAAGGCAATCTGGTCGCCATCGATCTGAGGGCGCTCAGATTCTGCCTGCCCGCCGACCGCCGCCGCATAATGACGCTATGCAAACTCTGCCGCTCTGAGGAGATTGGAGCGCATGTTTTAGGACGGAGCGGGCTGCGCGGGCGTCGTGGAGAGCGTGGAATTCGTTAGCGGCCGGAGCTGAGTCCGGCGGCGGGTCAGGGCAACTTTGGGGCGACAGCTGGAGACCCGGGCCGGGCGAAGTTGGGCGGCGGAGCTGGCTGCTGAAATTCAGCGGACATCTGGCTCGACACAGCCGCCGGCGCCTCCGGTGGCAGAGCGCTAACTTCTTGGCGCCGTCTGGGCCCATCCCCCTCCCCTCCCCTCTTCTGTCACTCAGTCTAGACACTGCACTGGCTGACCTCAGACGGTTCAATAGCACCCGCTCTACCAGTGTCCCCATTTACCCTATGTAACCCTCGCGCCTCCCCACTGACCCGTCTCGCCTCTGTCTCCACAGGGGAGGTGCCTCTGACGCACGACCTGGACCAGGTCAACTGCAACCCGGCCGGCGTGCTGGACGAGCTGTACGAGGAGCTGGAGCGCTTCTCTCGCCAGCCGTCGGCACGCTCCTCCAGCCGGCGCGCCTACGCCAGCCTCGATGTGGGCTCGATGGGCGTAGACCTCGGCTCCGGACCTGTTATCGCCAGGTGAGTGGTGGTCGGGGTAGGACAGCTCACGGGGAGAATGGGCTCAATGTGTTGTCACTCGTGTGAATCGTGGTAAGAAATAATGATATCAGGGGTTTCGACGCCTGGTTTGTAGTTTGTCGGCTTCCAGAGATGCCTAATTGAAGTTCAGTGTTATACTAAGTTGTTTCGTAATTTTACAACTCAATGTCATGAATACATATCATTCCCATTGTCTTTAGTATTTAGGTTATCACAGGCAGTTCAGACTGCTGTAAGCTAGTGTCAGTTGAGAGAGTTCGTTTGTATGCGATATTATCAGCTATGGGCCTTTATCGAAAACGTTCCAAAATGCATCGGGTACTTACATCGGGTATGCATGCAGTTAGGTGCCGAATCTTGGTGTAGTCACTGACACGACTACGTGGGCTGACGTCGACGATGTGTTAGGCCGTCCACGTAATCTAACTATCGCCCGCGTCTGACGGAGCTGCGACGTAAATCAATTGCATACGGTTAGCGCGATGACATCTCTCAGCAGCCGTGCTGATTCGATCCACCTCGCCACTAACCTGATTTCCCAGACCAAGTCTTATTGCTGAGTCTGGTAGATATTAATGAATCGACTTAGCCGGCCGGGTGCCCGGCTGCGATGCGTAAAAAGAACAGCGGCCAGTGGCTTAGCAGAGGCGTGGATTTCATTATGCACGTACTGCGCCAGATCATCCTTCCTCCTGCTGTGCGAGGGACACAATGGCTGCATTGCGGTAAGAATGCGACCTTTATCTCTTCCTATGATCCCTCTGCGGAGCGGCGGGACACGTGCCCCGACGCCCACAGTCTGGTTAGGGGGCTCGCGCAGAGTTGAACTGATTACCACGCCTCTGCGCTGGGCAGTAGATCGGCATCACTCGGCATCGCCCCCGCTCCCGTCTCTGCAGCGTGAAGCTGGATGGTCTTCTACCGCAGAGAGCGTGGAGATATGGCCCTAGACTTAGCCCTGGGGCACGAGAGGGAAGTGTTGGGGAGATGTATGCGTCATTATCTCTCCCTTTCTACCGTGCCGGAGCCACGCACTTTCCATCGGTATACCTGCTGAACGCACTCCCCTGCGGGAGAGGCGATGATCTGACATGGACGCCGGATCGCCGGGTACTAACCGGGCGCCGCCGGCGGACCTGTAGAGCTCACCTGCTCAACAGCAACTCAATACAGGTGTTGAATAATGCAGAGGCCCGCCTGTCGGCACAACAAGTGTTCTATTGTTCGCCGCCGCATAGAGCCGCGCCCGATGGCGGCGTATTGAATTTAAGTGCCGATGTGATGTTCCGAGGCGCTGCGGTGTAGACGGGTGATGCCCCTGCGCGGTGCGGGGGAGGAGTGGTGGGGTGGGGTCGGATGACGCGCGCACTCGGCCCCCGCCGGCCGGTATACCGGTCAGAGGCAGTAAATCCGCCGTTGGCAGCCTCGTTTGACCCGATGAGAGCGCTGCGGGCGGTGCGGGCGGTCGTGTTGGCTCTATTCTGGGACAGGGCGGCTGTGGGCCGGCCCATGACGGGTTATCCCAGGGGACGGGGAGGTCCAACGGGTGGGTCTGATTAGGGCTGCGCCCGCTGGAGGTCGCTCAGTGGGAGGGGCAGATATGGGAGCTCGGCGGACCACTGCCGCTCGGCGCCGACTATGACTGGCAGATAAGCCGAGTGCTAATGTACAAATCGCTCTGATGGGATCGGGCCGGCCGGCTGATGACGGATGGAGGCGGCTGTGGGCGGCGCTGGAGAGGGTCGGGTCACCGAGTCGGTAAGACTCGCCGCGAACAGAGGGCTCGGGAGCGGCGGCGGTGACTTGGGCTGACCTCTGCAGACTCTGGCCGGAGCTGCCGCCGTGTGGTCGCGGCTCAGGCAGTCGGTGGTCTGCCCGCACCACCCGCTGCGTGTCCGGTATCCGCCACCGTTTATCATACGGCCCGCCATGGGAGCGAGCACGGCGTGACTGGGCGGCAGTTTTTCGAGTGTCCCCGCCCCATCGCTGAACCGGGGCTGAGACCTCGGCGGGTTGGCCGGACGGCCGGACGGCGGGCGGGGTCTCTGCGCTCCCCCTGCAGCCGACAGCTCGATATCGGCGGCCGTTTGCGCGCCGTCGGCGGCAGTAACCGGACGCGGCCTGGCCACCGAGTGCGCACTGTTTTCCTCCGAGTGGGGAGACGCGCGCGCTGGCCTGCTTGGTATGCATTGTTGCGCGCGGCAGCCTGCTATGAAGCGGCGCCGGGCCATTAGCGCGGGTCGCGCGCTGCGTGCCGCGGACAGTGGCTCTGACGGCCGGGCCCGGCCGGTCAGGGTGGCCGGCAGCCCGGGCGGCCCGGACGGTCAGTATCGATCCTCGACTACCGTCAGCGCGGCTCCAACTGCCCCCAGCCGTGCAGTGGAGCCGTCAGTCGCCTGTCGTGCAGAGTGGGACGGACCCGCCCCACCGCCGTAATGGCCCAAAATGCCCGTCGGCGGCTGAATATTTTATGCGTCGATGGATATACGGGCGCAAAGTCTCAAACTCGACCAATGTTAGACCAAGTATAACCAATACCGGCGTGCGCCAGGTCGGATCAATGGATGGATCGGTTGCAAATTCGCCACGAGTCACCGTGTTGCACCGTGTGCTGACGGACGCTGTCAATTTAGCTACGTTTGCCAGTCAGCACCAGCTGCCATGACGGCGGTACATGTGATCTGCGAACAAATGATTCAGCAGCGGTCACCTGGCCCGGGCTCCCTATGGGGTAGGGTGATGTCGAACTCTGCGGGCGGGTCCGATTGCGCCGTATCCGGTGTCGACCGCTGTTGATACAAAAACCACGGCAGCGGTCCCCGAGCTCCGAGTGTTCGGGGCCGACCACAGAGCCGCGCCGACGGCCTGCCCTGCGCTGCGCATCGGACGGTGTGCGGTGACGGACGGGCTGGAATGTGACAGGAATGGTCTAGGAATAGCGGATGGTATGGAACACAGTGAGCTGATGCGGTAGGCGAGGAGTCTCTGCTTGGTTTCCCTTCAAAAAGTGCGAAGAGCCGGCGCCCACGGATGTCCGATGAACTCAAGTTTGGGGGCAATTAGCAGGTGTCTACTGAATTATTGTTTCCTGTTGTAGTTTACCCATGCGCTATTTTCTTTCCGACTCTTAAGTCGTAACTTATTTGGTGAAGGCCCCCATTTGTCATCATTACAGTATGTTGTGCTGTGGCTGATTTTCATGCCTTATTTGTCCATGCCAGACATCCGGATATAGAGCAATTACAGAGGGCCACGGTCCGCCACGCGCCCCGTGTCACTCCTGTCAGCGATCCTCGGCCTCCCTCACTGTACCGAGTCGCACTGGCCGCCCGGCTCCAGCGACTTGCGCCGGTTCGTGGAACGGCACTAGCGCTCTGTCGTGAGGTCATTACAAGGCCTGCACTGATCTTCCTGGTGTTGTTCGTGCAGATTCCCCGCGCAAATATTTCGTGTGCGGGCCTTGTAAGTCGATTGCAAAGTTCGGCGGTTCCATTAGGACCGGTGCTCGACCGGCAAACATCACTCGGTGTGCTCCAGGCCACGCTTTATAATCGTGAGCTCTTCCTCCACGGGAAATTTCCCCGGCGTATCGTAGCCAAACTAAGCCAACTCTCGGGGTGTTTTTCTGCGCATCGGAACGGTCTTGGTGATCCCGCGAGAGCACCGGCTCGGTCACGCGCAGCAGTGGTGCGGAGTCGAGGTAAATAAACTCTGCTCTCTGCCCGGGGTCCCCGGAGCGGACCGGGACGGTCGGCCGGTCCTCTGACCACCCGTGTCGTCGGCTCCGGACCACCACTGGCGGCGACACGGCCGGAAGAGCGGCGCGGCGCGCGCCACAATAGCTCATCAGCGACGCCGTCTCTCTGCGCGACCGCGCGCCGCCCGGTCGCCAGGTGTCAAGGCCGCGCTCGGCGCCACAGTCGCGCCAATTACCAGATGTGGGAACGGCCCGGTGCGCCCTCCCACTGCCTTGGACTGGATCGCGCGCTCTCTGGGCTCCGGCCGTCCCCTCAGGCACCGCTGCCAGCGGCTGGCGGCGCCAGACTGCGCGCCTTTTCGCGTCAGTTGCGTCCTTCCCCTCCCCTCTCCTCAGGGTCGGCACTAAGGTGAAACCACTTACTTTGGTTCTTCCAATCTTATCTACTGCCCTCGTGAGACCCTGTGTCAATCTCGATGTCTTCATGGACATTTTCTTCTGCAGACGGACCGTGGAATAGCGCGGACACATGGCCATTCACCTGCCGATTTTTATCGGCTCATTCTAGCAATGTCGCTGCGCAATCCGGGCTGTTATGACACAGGCGCGTTTTTCTGGCCGTAATCCGGTCCGCATGGCCGGCGTATTAGAGCCACAGGACCGGCGGCATTCATCATGCTCTGACACGTGATGGCGCGTCAGGCCCGCTGTGTGCTGCTCCCACCCGCCCCTGACCGAGCCGTCACCCGCCTGTTGCAGTGATTTCGACGAGAACGTAGTCAACAACAACATGGGCCGGCGCACGGGCGGCGGTGACGGCGCCGCCGACACGCTGACCGGAGACACGGTGCCGCCCGACCTGATCGGAAGTCTGGACGACAACCGGCGCCTCGAGACGGACACGTGAGTAGCGGGTCAGGTCACTGGTCCGCGTACACGGTGGGAACACGGGACCGGGAGTCGTGAGTGCGTGAAGGGATTGAGGTCGGCACTCGGCAGGGATGTCCAGAGAATCCCAGGGTGAAAGACATCAGGTCAACGCAGCTGCTTTGGTGACATGTTCTGTCCGAGCTCAGTCGTGACGCTCTCAGCGTTCGTCACATGGCTCACAGTCACGGTGGTGTTTGGGAACGAATACTGATTCACCTGGTTCTCTGAACACTAACACACCAGAGTTTACCAGGTGGTCTGGCCTGGGCTGCGTCAGAACGTGTGCCGCGAATCCAAAGTGGGTTCCCAGAACGGCGAATGCTACCCGGTTCGTATTAAACTCTCCCGATGAGATTTTATATGGACGTCATTGTGGCTGCGGCGGGTCAGGCGGGCCGTTAGCCTGTGAATCAGGTGCGCGGAAAACCGACAGGTCCAGGTCCTCGGCCTTGGCTGATGAATAAAGAACGCCTGTCGCGCCGGAGATGGAGGCGGCGATCGCGCTGATGCGGACGGCGGACAGGGGTGGGCTCACCGCGTGAACCGCCGCCGCCGCCGCGTGACGAGTCAAAACGGCCCGCCAGAGTGGAAGGCCCGAGTGTTATTGGGCTATTTGGAGTGTTTGTGTGCGGAGCTGGCCGGGCGGACGGGCACCTCCGGAGGGCTGGCCGTGAGTCAGCAGCTCCGCAGGCGTGTGGAACTGCAGCCCGACACGACTGCCTCAGCCGTCAACGAAGGGTATATACAGCCCTATCAATCGGGATAGGATCTCAGACGGATGACGATGCCAGATCCGGCCGGCCGCTGTGTTTTCGGTTCGCGTGCTCACACCCCATCGTGCGGTGACTCCTCACAGCGCCGGTGTCCTTCAGCAGTCGGTTTGTTTCGGAGGCAGCAGGTGCGCAAATGACAAGCGTGGGACGCGCAATCAGAGATCGGAATGTGCCTAGCCGCGGCGCGCTTAACTAGTTCCGGCTGGCGCGGCCCAGCGCCAACTCGAGCCCGTAATTAATGGACTGATTATGATTACCGGCGCGGCGGTGAGCCCAGTCCGCGCGGCGACCTGACGGCGGTGACCTCGACCGCCGCGGCGTTCATGGCGGGGTCCCGGCGGCGGACTCGGTCGGAGCCGCCCCCGCCGCTCCGAGCGCGCCCCGCCGCCCGCCTCTGCGCCCGCTGCCGGTCCTGATTCAATAAACATACCGGCGCGGCCACCGCCGCGTGCCCCGGGAAGCCAGGTGCATTAATGGACCGTGATAAACGATCGGGCCCGCGATGACCTCATAATCGGCTTTCGGCGCCGACTGCGTGGCGAGCCTGACGGTCCGGCGCGGCGAATGAAGGCCACGCGCCCTTCGACATTTTACTGTTGGAGGGCTGGAGGCTCTCTGGGAAGTTGCTCTGCTGTTTTTCGCTACCACTGCGTTGGAGTGGCACCAACACAGCCAGCCCATCGCAGCTTTCAATTGGATTGATTCCACCCGATCTGGGGACGACGCGTGTCGGTTTTCCTCGGCACTGCCGCGGCGGCTGGCTGCTCTTTCCGATGGGTTCTGAGAATCTCCAGCGGCCGCGTGGTCGGGTTTCCAGCTCTCTGATCGGACAGCCTTCCGCGGCTCAGAGGACAGCCGAGACCGACCCGGCAACAGTCTCCTCTCCGGCACCAGACAGCTCGGGCTGGCGGGCTGTGGCCGCCCGGCTGTGATCAGAAATTCTGGGCTGATGGGACTGAGAGGCGGCGGAGGAGTGGTCGGGTCGCCTACGCGGAGCGGACGATGGGCGACGAACCGGGAACCGCACGGCTCTCTGGTGAATATGGCGCCACATCACGGAATGCTGAAGAACTCAGACAGAGGGAAACTCGAGTGGGCGCCTTCCACACTTAGAAAATTCGTCCTTTTCACGGCAGGTAGATATTTTTTTTTAGATGGCGAAGTCTGACTGCTCTCTGCTAAACGCTAAGGATGATGAAGTTTTTGTGCTAAGGTCGAATAAAAAAATGCGTCGCTCATGATCGTTCAGTGAGACTCTTTTCCACCGTCAGGAGTTGCTGAATCGGTCAGACGGGGTCGGCTAGTGTCGTACGCTACCGTAGTGCTTTCGTGCAGCGTACCTCGTGCAGGAGCCACGTGACTCGTGACTCGGATCACGTGATTCGTGAGTCCGGTCACGTGACGCGTGACACGTCACTCAGTGGTGTGATATACACCTGCGCTAATTGATATACCCTCTGTTGTGCTCTGTGTTGCCGGAAACACCGCGCTGGCGCAAAGGGCTTCAATGGTAACCCCCTGGTCGTTTCAGTCGAAACTTCCTTTTTCTTTGTCACGGTTTTGTTTGGACCTGAATAGTCAGCCTTGTGCTTCCCGGCATTTGGAATGCCGTAAATACCAATAACTGGCTGCTCTGTGGCCTGTTGGCGCTCACGTTTCGCTGCTTAGGTGTAGATAATGCAATTAGGCGGCGCGTGAACTGTAGGCGCGTGACCTGCCGACCCCGGAATCGTTTATTTATCAAACTCATTTCTCGGGCGCGGCCGGCAGGCGCTCGACAATCCATCTGGCTCGGACAATAGGTGAGGGCGGCGGCGACTCGGCCGCCCTTGGCCCGAACAATACCGACCGTCGGCCGCAGATCGCGTTGCTGGCTGCACCCGTCCTTCGTCCGGCGGCAGCTCTGACGGACTACGAGGGAGGACTGGGCTGACCCGTGCCTACGGGGGGTTTTGATGAAAATATACCCACCAGTGCTCTAACTCGTGGAACGCTGACGTGTGCCTGCATCCGTACTCGTTTCTGGGTTCCACGGGAGTGAGCCGTCTCTCTTCCACGTCTCGTGGACCCGGACTGGTATGATCGGCGCGGCTCAGGAACTCGGAAGCGCAGTCCCGCCGATCTGTGGCGAAGGTCCGCCTTTGTCGCAGTGGTCCGGGAGGCGTGTGCTCCATATTCCACTGCCGGATAGCCGGCGTTGTAGTGGTTGGAATGTGACCCCGCGCCGTGCCTCTGTCACCGTTCAGCTACCGATGACGGGAGTGTATGGAGAGATCAGCATAGCATCAGCTCCGACGCTCGGGGGCTTGTCTCTCGCGGATATTAGACGTGCTCAACTTTGAAATCGTGTCTCACATTCGCGGTCGCGGTCACCGACATGCGTGCCGTCCGTTCCTGCAAGGCACGCCCGCTACTGCAGCCGAGCACGCACCGATGGTCGGATCGGCCGGCGGGCTCGGCTGCAGGTCAACAGGTCACGTCCTTCGTGAAGGCGGCGGGCTAGCTGGTCTGCGTGACCGTGCCGGAGATGTGCCGCTTGTCGGACCATCATCACGGGCCGTATCGATGGCAGGCGGGGCCGGCGGCGGCAGAGCGGGGTACCACGGGGGATACTATCGGGCATGTTTGGTACACGGTTGGAGGTCAGGCCGGGATCTGATAATGATGTGTTGTGCCTGCTTCCATCAATGTATGACCCTTATTAACATTGTGGCTAGATTTCCAATGCCAGCGATGGAATCAGGTTTCGGGAAACCAAACCACGCGAAGCTGGTGTGTCATGAGTTCAAGCTTTGCCCCATCAGCGCTGAGGTCAGCACTAACACCGCCCGCCCACCCGACCCGCACCACCAGCGTCAGCGCCGATGATGGCTGCGGGCCCGGACAAATTGGCCGATCTGTCGACATCCATTGGTGTGTCGTCACCAATAATGGCTACATCAGTCAGGCGGCGTTTTATCGGTGCCCGGTTCTAGGAACGCTCTGCAGCGACCAGCGCTGTTGATTCGCCGGCGATTTTGTCGTCGCATGGCTCCGATTGGCGTTGATTGCTGCTGGCTGTCATCCATTACCACCGAACTGATTGAGAATCCTTGATTGGGGCGATGATAGCGTTCCGCTTTTTTGTCGTTTCAATTTGTTCCAATCTGATCCACGTCATTGAACTTTGCTGTGGCAAATTTTGTTGTACTGGTTTTCCTGGTTCAATATCCCAATAAAGTATCGATAATCTGTCTCGTTTACAATGTGTCGCGATCGATCAAACCTGACCCTCGCCGCGCCTCTCTGTCTCCAGGTCGCCGAAGCAGATGTACCACTCGGACATCCCTCACTTCACCGGAGAGCTGACCGATGACCTGTACGCCCTGCCGGTGAAGAAGTCGACCGTGGACGGTCCGGCCGAGCCCGCCGCCGCCGGCGACCAGCCCACCCTGCCCTCCGGCTGGGAGAGACACGAAGGTACGGTCAACGACGGCGGAGGATGGGGCGGGAGAGGCTATAAATGTTCACTGGGCTGCGCGCTTTATTTTAATATTTATATCGTTTTACGGAATTCGATTGATAAATGAATGTGTGTGCTCAAGCTCGTGAAAAATCCCACTGTTTTACGACTCTTAATTAAATGTGGTCAATTATGTTCAGGAGCTATACAAATCTATACGTACATTACCTATGGCGTAGCTTATTAGATGACCTTACGGGAGGTAGTTCGCACACCAAACTACGCCGCTGTGGATGTCTTAGAGGCCACGAAGCCACACCATACCACTCACACGCCATAAACTAGTTCAGGGACGACCTGCGACACGACGCAGATGACTTCGGGACCGGCTCGCGGCCCGCAGCTACCGCGTCTGGCTGCCCTGTCAGCGGCGCGCGTGACATAACACAAGTCATTAGGAGGGCACTCTTGACATGCGAGTCCCACTCAGTGCTGTCACGGGGTCAGACGGAATTAGGTGAAAGGGCGCCGGGGCCGCCAACGACTCCCCGTCGACTGCCTCTCTGTTGTTTACGCTTTCATTGCCGGCCATCAGGGGGCCGTTTAAATGGTCATATTTCACCTGAACACCCCGTGAGGCTGTGGCACTACATCATCCCCGCACCGGCCGCTCGAGGGCTCATCTCTGGCCGCTCCATCGCTGTCATCTCTGAGAGATGACCAGTGGACGAAGGGGACCCAGTCTCCTGGCGAATGGTATTATGGTATTGCGGCCGCTGGCTGTGATACACGGGGGTGGGTTGTGTTGGTCAAACCGCGCATCGGTTTGTACCAAGACGGGAGGAATCCGGGGGGCGTGGCTGTTTGCGATAGAAGTTCCGGACACCTCGCCCTTCACATCGCTGCCAACCGCTTTGCTGACTGCTGATGGCCGCACAAGTTACCGTGGACCGCTGACAATCGCTGAAGTCAGCGCAGACAGTCGCTGACGGCCGCTGGCTGCTCCCGGGCCGATATCAGCACTCAGCAGTCAGCGGCCCGCCCCTCTCACACTCGACCCGCCTCCCTCCCCAGCGTTAATGTGCCGCGGTCGGGAGCGGCGCCGTCAGGCCGACAGGTGCCATTCAGGTGTTTATGGATTGGAGGCGGGCAGCCGGCCGTTTGGGGGCGGGAAAGTGGGCCTTTTTCTGGCAAATGGAGGGGCAGGCGCGATTTATCTGATCGGACAAGATTGGGGGATGTTTGGGGCGCGCGGCAGGCGCGATAGATGTCCGGCGCAGACAGCTAACAGCGCTGTTTAGTGGGTAGGTTCCAGCGGAGGGCGTTCGATAACGCCTGGGAGAGCTGTGTGTTTGTGCGCTGCGGCCGCCGTCAATGGCTCTGATCACGCCCGTTTGTGTGTCTGTCTGTCGGCACTCGGACGGTCGGGCACGCTCCATTGGCCTCTGTTTACTGCTCGCTGTTGTGTAACACGCTCAAGGAGAGCGGTGGTCGCGGCTGATCGGTGGACGTGCCTCCTCGAGTGACCTCAGCGGTCTATACGAGACGGACTGTGGTCAGGGAGGACTGGTAGATCGCGGGCGGGCCACGGGCGACAGACGGACGACCACGACAATACTGGGACGAGGCCGGGCCGCCGGCCGCTGTAATATGACCAGCTGCTGGGCTGAGACTGGCCGCCGTTCTGGGAGAGTGGTGACACTGAGGACGTAGCCACCGGACAGGGCCGGACAGTCGCCGTCCTGGGAGGGCGCCCGTGTTGATGGCGATGATGACTGTTTTGACGGATTCATGGTCACCCGACTGACTGATCTGTGGGCGGGGTGTGACCGTGTCTCAGCGCTGGCGCCTGTCCGACTGCTTCCTGTATCGGTGGATGGATGGGAAAGCATCTGAGTGCTGACACATTATCACTGCACCAGTATATAGTTAGAGAAAAAGTCCCAGTGCTAACGCTGTCTCCCTGTCCCGACAGATAACGACGGACCTTACTATTGGCACATCAAGAGCGGAACGATTCAGCGCGAGCCACCACCCTCGCCACCCGAAGACGCCAAGCCGCAGCCCGTCAAAGACAGCGAATCGGTACGTGACGTGATATTTTACAGGATCAGCTCCGTAACTGAGGTCATATGACGTGATTGGTTATGGGTTTTAAGTGATGCTGTTAAAAAAGAACAAAATTTGTCGTTTATAATCGGGTTTAGTCAAACCATGTCCCCTGTCTAGATCGACATCCGGTAGCTTATGCTTTTTGCGGGTGATAAAGCTGAGTGGTTCTTACAAGCTGCTGTCTGAATGGGACTGGTTTTTGCGGCGTTCTTTTACTATCCTGCTCCGGCCATCCGCTATGCTCTCCGGGTTCCTGTCTATCCCCTTTGGCTCCCGAGAGCGCCTGACGACGGTCTCGACGCCGTGAGTCGGCGATGCGCACCGCTCCGATCACACTCTGTGTTTTACCGGCCGTCACTCGGCACGTAAACGCAGCACTTCCCGGCGCATCGCCGCGGTGCCGGAGCGTGTTATTGTTGGCCGGCCTTGGCCGCCGTCCGTTCCGGCGTTTTTGTGCACCGCGGGTGGGTGGCGGTGTCCGCCGGTGGGTGCTCGCCGCAGACAGTTCGGATAACGGCACCCCTGTGTGTGTCGCCTCTTGTGTAACAGCGCCGCGGCACGCACCTCACGCAGTACGCACCTCCGAACGGCGGGGTGGCCGGGATGGGCGGAGGGGCTAACCTTACGCGTAGTCACCGAGTTGTCGGTGTTTCGTTAGTCGGAATGGCCCAACCTCACCTGACCTGACCTGACCTGACCCGCCTCCACCGCAGAGCTCTGGAATCTCGAGCGGCAGCGCCGGCTCCGGTGTGACCCGCAGCAGCACCAGCTCGGCGCTGGCTGACCTGGACCGGCGGCACGTCGAGTACGCCGACAAGTGAGTCTGACACCGGCGGGTCGCCTGGGCAGGCATGCTAGGAGTGAATGGGGGAGGGAAGTGTTGGGGTAAGACGGCGAGCGTGATGTTTGCGTGTACGTGTATCAGATGTGTAAATGATGTGCGTCGTACGTATTACATTCTGTATTACTGGGTCTTGTCTCTGACTTTCATGATCATGTGCTACATTTCTCTGGTTACTGGTAAAGCGTTTGGTGGCAACAACTAGGGACCTTGCCCCTGATTACAGTGCAGCGCTCTGATATACCGTTGTGTCACTCGTACGTCGTTTCAGTTCCAGCGCTTATTTCTCACTGCAGGCGAACCGGCTCGGTGGGCTCTAAGCGTGACTGAGCACCCTTTGTTTTGACAAACCTGGCCATTTAAAAACACAACACCTGTCATTCTATTTACGTTTGTAGGCTTACGCCACCCACGCGGGTCTGATAGCTGTTGTTGGATCCCCCATCACGGAGAGGGGAGCATTCACTGCGCGGCCCGCGGAAGTCGGCACTCTCATGACCCGATTACCTATGAGAGGAGCGCCGGCGGCTGCCGTGTAACTCTGGTTTGGCACTGTGCGGGGACCACTTTCACACACACACATACCGACCCTGACACGGCGTGCGGCAGCGGTGCAGCCGTGACCCCCGCGAGAGGTGACCCGGCCGCGTGGGAGATCGCTGTATGGGAGCTGGGACGCCCAGTGTCGCGCCTTTGTCTGAGTGAATCACTGTGAAACGCCGGCAGCGGGATGGACTCTGAGAGCTTCATTAACGAAACTCAGCGGAAAAACGCAGACGGTTTTATGGGTTAATAAGGCTGAAAGTTGAATAGAGTAGCTCTGCCATGGAATTAAAATGGCTGGAGAAAGAATGAAAATGATTTGAGGAGAATAAGAGAGAAAGAATGGAAAAGAAAGAGCGCGGAATTGCAAACGTTAAAAGGAGACAAGCCTTGGAAAATTAAAAAAAGTAAAAGTCGGGAAGGAGAAGAAAGAAAAGACAAAGACATGGACGAATATAGATCAGACGAAGATAGACACGGCGGTGCGGCGAGCTGAAGGTAAGACCGACCGTAGACTACTGATCCGGTGCAGAGCAGGTGGGGGCGGTGTTCAGGGACCTTCACTGGCTCCCCCCGCTGTCGACAGCCGTTGTTTGATGGTGTCATTAGCCCGGTGTGTGCCGGGCGTGGCTGCCAGACCTGGCGGGCGGTCAGCCCCGGGGACTCTGATCGAACCTTGAGGGCCTGCGGAGCGGGTTTGATAGGGGATCCCTGCTGGTGCGCGGCTAGGTTGTATCACATTCACTGTGGGCTAGCGAGGCGGGTCGTGTTTCTTTCGGTGATGCAATGTGATTACTGAAGAGATTAACTCGAGTTCTGCGTGAACGTCGGCCTTTGATCAAAACGACAAAACGAGAGCCTTTGATCAAAACACCAGCTTTGATCAAAGCGGCTGGTTTATTTTCATCCAGCGCGGTTACCAGCGCCGGCAATTCGCCCGCTCTGCGCGGCTGATGACTCTATATCCTGGCCGCGGCGGCGGTCACCGTCGCCCGGCGCTGACAAATACCGTCCATCCCGTGCTCGGCATCCCCTGACAATGGCCACTCCGTCACCGCGCCCGGCCGGCGTCTCACTTGGGCTGCCGTGCACGCGACGCGGCGCGGTGCACTGTGCACCGGGCCTTACCCAGAAACTTGGCGTAACGACCCATTGTTCGGCGCGCTCCGACTCAGTCACCGCCCGTGGTACTGAGGTGGTGAAACAACATCTCCAAGAGGCCTCATGGCGGATCTCCGCGGTCGGAGATCTGTCCGGGGATGTGTGTGGTCTGTCGTGCGGTGGACGGTTGTGCGGTGGAGGGAGACCGGAGACCGCCGAGGGCACTGGTCGACCCCCCGACCTCTGACCCCTGGCCTGACCTGTGACCTGACCCGCCGGCGGCCGTTACCGCTGATAGTTAGTTTGACGCGTTGCATCACCGAACGGTGTCGAGTTTAGCTGTCCGCTCCGGTACTGTAGCACCACTCGACCTCTCGGCGTAGAACTATCTCCACATTCATGGCCTCTGCGGCGGGAGTGTTGGCCAAGACCGGCTTCACTAGCTGATTGGTAGGTCGGCCGCTGGCGATTGCTATCCATACACTGATGACAGAACCGGACTCTGAAAGGTGACAGCAAATGGACACACGGACGGACGGACAAGGGTACCGAGATGACCCGAGCAGCGTGGTTATCGAGGTAATGCGTAGACGACTGAGAGAGCGAAAGGGAAGATGGATAAGAAAAGGAAAAGTGACGGCTGAGCTGTTTGTCGTGACGCCAGACGCGTAACGATGTGATGATTGCTGTCGGATTGATCGTGTGAAGTGCTGCGTTCACTGCGTTTTCTACTTTCATTACTGATGCTTTGCGATCGTTGTCGAGCCTGCTTTAAAGCCTGCTCTTCAGCACTGCGTGAAGGAGGGAAGATCATTTTAACGTTAGGGCCATGGATGGAGATGAGGACACAGTTTGGTAAACAGTCCCTTGAGTGTTAGTAACCGATCGCATAATGGATGTGCGTTTTCATAATGTTCTCCATCACCCGTTTCCCAACCTGTCCCGCGGGGTCCTCGGGTTGTGTCACTGCCCTGCCCTTCCCTCGCTGGCCGGGCCGTAGCCGGAGGCTGTCTGTGCCCCGGTTCGCAGCGGCTGGGGTGACCCGCTCGGCCCAGCCCCGGGGCCGCTACCGCCGCTCTCGTGACAGGGACAAGTGTGTGAAGGTGCCGGGGAGAAGTCGCATAGGATAGCCTCCGGTGGCGGCGCGCCGGCTGCTGGGGAAATGGTGGGGTAATTGGAGCACAGGCCGCGAGTGAGGCTGACTTCGCTCAATTTACCCTGGGGGCAGACTGTTACAGCGACCTGGCAACTGCTGAATTGGATGAGCCTTGGAATTGGACGAGTGACTGCTTTCTGTATCGAGCATTCGCTGCCGTTTCGATGTGAACGCACAAGCGCAGGCCGAGTGAGCTGTTAAACGGGAACCACCGCCGTCCGCACTTTGAAGAGATATCAAGCTCTCCGGCCCAGCCTGGAGATAAGCCGTCTCTAAGCGCCGCACTTAATTCTTCCCGAAGGCAGCGGGAGCGCCGCCGTTGGGTAATTCACAGACGTTCTCGCACTGCAGATCGTCTCTTCTCGTCTTAATCAACTTTACAAAAGGATTCAGCACTGTGAGAGATTCGGCGAGATTGCGGATGCTGCTTTCAACATCCAGAGATTAGAGAACTTTACCATTTCGGAGCGGAGCTCGTGAGAAACATGAGCTGACTTGCGGTGGAGTTGACAGTTGTTAGTTGCTCTGCGCGCCCTGCGGATTGCATGCCTGTAGTGCATACCTTCTGACCAGTGTTGCGACAGCGTCTCATTCAGAGCAACATGGACTGCAAGCCGCTGTCCAAGTGTGGGAGCTCGGGAACTTGGGGGACATATTCTCTCGAGAAACTAGCTCACCGTTCGCTGCTCCAGCTGTGAACAGGGGTAGTTGCTACCGGACTTGCTCAAATTGTGTGCGAATTTGCATGTAAATGGGAGCTTCTAGACATGTAAAAGTCATCCACGTGCCGAAAAGAAAATCTGAAAAGTCCGTGAGACAATTGTTCGCCTTCCAGTTACTTCATATGGTATTATGGAGAGTTTTGTGTTTGAATGGAGTTTGTCTTTGCGCTCTGTATCCAGCTACCTGCTCATTCTCTGTCAAATGTTGATCTTGCTCCATCCCCTCCCCCGTCTCACCACTGTGCACCGTCTCTCGCCGACAGGAGGAAGAGTTTCCCGGCCCGCTCGGACCTGGAGGCGGCCGCCGACTCGCGCCGCGTGCGATTCGCCGTCCGCTCGCTGGGCTGGGTGGAGATCGCCGAGCCGGACCTGACGCCCGACCGCAGCAGCAAGGCCGTCAACAAGTGCATCGTCGACCTCTCGCTCGGAAGGAACGACGTCGTTTCCGACTCGGTCGGCCGCTGGGGAGACGTAAGTAGTCAGCTGGGGGATCGGTTGAGTTTTGGTTTGGTGTAGGGAGCATACCACGTCTCCTACTTGACCAGTCCGGTATTGCAGAAGGAACAACTGACCTCTCGCTCTCCAGCCCAGTCTCCCCCGGTGGGTGGCCTCCCCACACTGCCTTAGCAATCTCACCCCGCCCCTCCTCCGTTGGTAGCTAGGTGCGCGGAATGTGGCCCCGCGTGCCGCGACTGGGTGTGGCGGCCCGCCCCAGTCGCTGGTCTGTTTACGGCTTATACTGTGTGAGACACTGAGAGATTACGAACGTTACCGGCAGGCCGGGTGGCGGATTGTTTGTGCCGGTTACCGTGGGAACGGTGAGAGGCCCTCGGCCGGCCCTCCGTCCCAGCGGCGCCTCTCGAATCATGTGGGCTTAACGATTTTTATGATGCCATGGTGATGGATAGGTCTATTCCATGTCCTTTTCGAGTGGAAAAGGAATGAGGAAGTATGTGTGTTGGATTGTCTGGTGTTTTATAATCACTAACGCTTTTAATGCCTGAAATTGATGGATAATCGATGAAATCGGACGAAACTGTGATTGGCTACCTCAGAAACATTTTCTTTGATGTTGCGTAACAGTGAAATTGACATTTTTGCATCTAGTATTACGTAAAGCTGCGTGTCCTGACGGTTAGGCAGCTGGAGTGAGACATAGCTATTTACCAGCAGATCGTCTCCATTCCTCTGTGGCCATATCGCTCCCGTACGAAATGTTTGTGTGATGTGTGCGATAGTGTGATGGATGCGTCGGCGGCGTCTGCGCTACCGGCCGCCGGCTGTGCGCGGGGCCTTGGCGGCCTCACCGAAGGACGGAGCAGCTGCCATACCTGGCGCGCTCGGTGTCGGCTCGCGGGAGATATCATCTGGCCGGCGGCGAGCGGCGCTGGTTCGACCAGAGCCCGGGTCAGGGGCGTCCCACGTCCCCAGAGGACTGGGAAGGACTGGTCCGGTGGCCAGGCCAGGTTATCTCCAGATCTAATCGAACCGGACAGAAACAATGCCCTCAGCGGGGTCATACACTGCCATGATAAATCGCTCGTTTGGTACGTTTTTAGATCGCGGCTATTTCGCGGAATGGCCGTAACCATGTCGTGCCTGTGTCGTTGGCGTGTGACGTGCGGGCGGCCCTATTTCTGGCGCCGGCCGACTATCCCCGTGTCCTGCTCTGACCGGTGGGGGCCGCTGCGTACCGGGCTACAGACGAATGTCGTACAGCCCCCGGCCGGCTAATGGTCGCCGTCCACCCCGCGCCACTCAAATGCCGACCTGAAATACCGCCCTGGAAATGTCAGCTCCGTATCGCGGCCACGGCTGCGGGCGTTTACTGGTGGAGGGAGGGGTTAGTGGAGAGAACTGCGAGGCTCGTGGCGAACTGCGGCGCACCTTGACACTCGTGACGCAGTTGGGCGCTGGGAACTGACACCTGCGCTCGGCTCGTCGGTCCGTGTTTCCGGGTGACTCCGCGACGCAGTTGCAGTTCCTCTATCACCGGGTGTCGGTGCGTAGGAAGGTCCGCCACGAGGGCGCTTAGCCCCGATCGTGCTGGAACATTGATCAGTGGGTTGGTATAGCCGCAGTAACAGCGGAACAGCGGAAACCGTGCCGTGGCATGAATGGATCCGGTGACAAGCCATAATGACGAACACGGGGACGTGGACTACCGGCTGTAGGCGGACGGATGTTAGGCAGACAGTAGGCAGCGAGTGGTAGGCGGTGGACTGTAGGAAGTGGACTTCAGGCGGACAGAAGGTAGCGGGCGGTAGGCGGACGATAGGCAGCCGGTAGGCGCCAGCCGAGGCCACCAGTCACGGTCAGCCGTGTCACGGTAGAACCGCTGACCGGACGGCGGCGGCGAGACGCGGCGAATCAATGTCCCAGTGCCGGCTGGCGCCGCTGCCGGCCATTGTTCGTCGGGTGACGGTACGGACCCGACCACCGTCATTCATTCATCCATTCATTCCCTCATTCATTCAGTCCGGCGGGTCGCGAGGGACGCGCGAGGGTGGTGGTGGTGACGTCATCGCGCGGCGTGCCGGCGGTGTCACCGATCGCTCTGCACGGTGTACCAACTGCATACTAACGAGCCTACGTGACGTCACCAGCGGAGCTGCTCCCACGGACCGTGGCCAAGTTTAAATGGCAATGTGCGCAGTGGACACGCTCTGACCTTAGTGGACGCGGTCTGACCTTTGTATTCGCCCGAATCGATCAATGTGTGAAATGTGAATGGGCTGAATGCTAAGCGCGTCACGCTGAAGACTCGTCGGAAGTTACGGATAACGGTCCTCTCAAGGTCTAGGCAGATTAATTCTAACGAGCTGTGGGACCTCGAAGAACCGAGCCGACAAAAAAAAACTGATTGACCTTTCTGACCCGTGGATTTTATCATTCATGGCCTTATGTAATGGCGTTTCGTCAGCCGGTCTATACATTAACGAGCATTCACACGTTCTGTGTGTGCGTCTCGTCGGAGACACCCCCGCTGATCGTCTGTCTGGTGACCTTGACCTCCAGTGCCTCCGGGTTAATTAGAGGACTGTTTGTTCGCGATCGATCCCCACGGGACGATACTGGCGGGATGCGTGTGCCGTCGCGTCCGAACGAGGCGGCATGGCGTGCCACCATCCCTGGGCCGGCGCGTGCCTGTTGTGACGTCCTGGGCCGGAGAGCCGCCCCACCCTGCCCCGAACCGCCGTCTGCGTGAGACTGGGACGGCCGATCTGCTGTGGGGCACGTGTAGGTGCGTCACAACGCGAGGATGCGTAACAATGCCCTGGCAGCATGGTGAGGAGCGGCTTTTAGGCTCCGTCGGTTCCCAGCAAATCCCGGGTATTGTTGGTCTGAGTGGAGTACTGTGTAATGGCGGTGTGTTGAAAATTTGGGCGTGAGATGCGTGTGGCGTGTGTGTGCGTGTCTGTTCAATGTGTACACGCTTGTTGCACGCAGTCTGTGTACAACCGCAGTGTCCGTCTGCCTGTCCTTGAAAGTCAGTCGCTGCCGCCGCCGCTGCTGCCGCTGCGATGTTGTGACTGTATCTGCCACGTTTCTGCGGTATTATGACCAGTTTATCTTTCGTGTCTCTGCGGTATTCTGAATGGGCCTCAGCGTGCCACCCGTATCTCCATATCATAACCGACTCTTCTGCGGTGTTCACAGTCCCCACGCCGTTGTGACTGCCTTGTGCCCTGACCACCCCTCTGCTTTGTCTCCGCAGGGCAAGGACCTGTTCATGGACCTGGACGAGGGCTCTCTGAAGCTGCTGGATCCGGAGAGTCTGACGCTGCTGAATACCCAGCCGATCCACACCATCCGAGTGTGGGGCGTCGGACGCGACAACGGAAAGTGAGTCGGGGACGGTACTACATAGACTCGATGGACTCAGTACAGGAGGAGAGGGGAGGGTAATCAGACATTCATAATGTAATTTGTGGGCCGTGTGGTCAGATGCGGTGTCCTGCCGCGGCCAGTGCGGTCTGGGTTATGGGGACACTGCTCAGCGGAGCGTCTGGCCGTCGGACGGGCTCCGCTGATATCCTTGGTGTGTGGTGTTGACCGTCTGGTGGATCCACCCTCTCGTGCGGTCGCCGCCGCTAATTGATTTGTTGAGCCGTGAGCGGCAGGCGGAGGCAGCCTGTGATCCGTGACGGGCGATCCCACGCCGCCCCCGCCCGTGCTGATCACTAACGAGCCCCGTCTGTTCCTCCCCCGCCCACCGATGAGCAGAGAAAGGTAACGCCGCGCGATGCGGGCTCTCTGCCCGACAACCGCCACCCCGTGCATGTTTTCGTCGCATGTCGTTGAATTTATAGATCATGAACCTCAATGGTAGTGGAAATTGGTCGCGTGTATTCCGCTAGCGATCCAGATAGTGTTCTGATCACTTTGCTAGAACTGTGATTGTTGTTGTAACTGTTTGCACGCATGTCCAGCGACATATATCTCGTTTCATCACCCGCTCGTCAGTAGAGCACGCGTTCCCAGCCGTTCCGCGACACTGTCCGTGTTTTGAAATAGCCTGCATGGCCCTACTCGGAATGCATGAACGGTGAGAGCGCGGTGATTAATTTTCCAGCGAACGGCGTGCGATACACAGCACACACTGCATTGTCTGTGCTCGCCGGCCATATATTATATTTCGACATGTGCCTCCGTCGCAGTAACTAGCTGATTCTGGTGAATCCGGCCGCCGCACTCCGTCAGAGCGCTGCCCAGAAGGCGCTCAATCAGCGTTTGGTGCATGCTACATTGTGCCCACCTGTAGATCAGTCACTCGGGCCCACGCGACCCAGTGGGGAACAATAGCATATTCACTCGACTGGGTGCAGAGGCCACAGTTCAAGGGCGCGCCCACCGGACTGTCCTCTGGCTTCGGTGAACGAGGCGAAACGATCAGACCATACATTTCCCCGTATGCCACTGTGCCGGGCTAAATGTCCGCAGAATAAAGCCACCGGCCGCTTCACGGGGGTCGCTCTCGAGGTCATGTCACAGTTGGGAATGGACGAGCATGCAGACCGTGATTTGTCGTGCGGCTGCTGCATGTTGTCCTTGTGTGGTGACTTCTGGCACTCTGTTACCTTGCTTAGGGCCGTTTAGTGGTAAAATTAGAGTTGTCTATTGCCTCTGAAGACAGTACAGCTACAGTGTCGCTCGCCATAACCCCTTGTCACATTGCTGGGGTACAGAGGGTGATGTGAAATAATTGCCCATCTTTGCAGTCACTATTGTGCTCTCTGTACGGATTATCTCACAACGATCACACACTTACTTTCAGTTTACCCTATTCTGGTGTGTCCTTGGTTTTATTCATCTGCCATCGCTGTAACAAATGTGTTAATTCCAGCACTGTTGCGTCATTATCAGACGGATACATCCGTCCTGGGGGCCATTTTCTGTCGCATTTTCCAGTGTTCTGTCTGCACACTGTCCTTTTCACTCGCGTCGCACCGCAGCCAAGGTCGTCAATCGCCCCCGCCGGCTACCGCAGCTACCGCCCATTGTTAACAGTGTACCTGACTCAGTCGTCTGTCAGCGGCGTATGTAACCCAGCGACCCGTGCTATCAGCGGTGTATCAGCAGGAGCCATCAGAGGCTCCCGTCACCAGTGTATGTGACCCAGTCACCGGACCAGGCGGCCCCCATAGTCAGTGACGGTGGGATGGGACGGCAGGCCGGAGGTCAGGGCGACCGATACGCTCCGTCTGACGTCCCCGCCCTAGCCTCCGCTGCCACCTGACGAGTCTTCGTTAGCATCACAATGTGTACCGACGGTGGTGGTCTGCGCCGGCCGGCTGACCCGGGGAGGGCGGGAGTGATGATGATGGGTCGTCCGCTGGAGCAGTGTCGCAGCCGCGGGCCATCACATAATGGCCGGTTACACAATATAATGCAGAGAAACTGCAGCAGCAGCGTGTGCCGTCCCGCGGCGGAATAGTGCAGTATCATCGTTCAGCGTCCGTGCGGCGGCTGTAATTATCAGCAGCTGATTTAGTGGTGTCGTCGGCCGACCGCCGCCGACGCCAAACAAAGGTGGACCGGCTGTGTACCCGCCCGCCGGCCGCCGCCGGATCGCTGTGGTCTGCGGTCAGACGCCGACCGGCACAGTCGGGACACGGACTATTTGAAACAATTTGGTTACGCTGGCCTTGCCTTGGCCGCGCCGCTGAAACCGGAAAATTGCGTGAGAAGCTGTAACGAGAAGTGGCCACATGGCATTACACGGCTGTGAGTTTACATGAGGTGCGGCGCGTTACCACTTGGTGTGTGGAACGGTGTCGAGGCCCCTGGCCCCCTGGGGTGGCCGGCAGAGGAGGAGGCGGCGGTCCGGGCGCGCAGTGAGACCCTCGGGCGCTGCCGATCCGGCGCTGATTGACATTGGAAACCGGCGGCGGCGTAACCGTGCGCCGGCACGGCAGGCTGCAGCGCCGCCAATGAATGGTGTAGTAGTGAACTCTCTCACGACGGAACCGGTTCTGGCGGCGGTGCATGCGTCCGTGCCATCAGAGGGCGGCCGCCGCGCCGGCCGGCCTTTGGAAGGCTGCCGCGCCGGCCGGCCCGGCCCCTCTGATGCTGCCCTCTCCCACGGCTCGAACCCTTGGCTGTCAGTTCGGTGGGAAAACCGCTCTGCGCGACACACCTCGCTGTATTTACGGCCTCTGCGCTCCTGTCGAGCCGGCCGAGCCGCCGTTGCGGAGCTGCTCGTACCGCGCAGAACGATAAACTCCGCTCAGTCTGTACTTTTTTCAACGTCCCGTCTCACGTTCTCCACACTCCCCCGACCCTCGTGCTGACGCGTCTCTCCTCCGACAGGGATTTTGCGTACGTGGCGCGCGACCGTGTCACGCGCAAGCACATGTGTCACGTGTTCCGCTGTGACACGCCGGCCCGAGTCATCTCCAACACACTGCGGGACATCTGCAAGAAGATAATGATCGAGCGCAGCCTGGCACAGGGCGCTGGCCGCCTCTCTGAACCGGGTGAGTTGTAGGATGGTGAGACAGAATGGGAGAGGTTGGTGGCTATGTCATGTGACCGATGCGCTGGTGTGCTGTGGGATGGTATCGGCTAGATCACGGCTCCGAAGGGACGGTGTGTCTGGCTCGGCGCCGTCTCTATGGCCCACTGTCCCGGCCATATCATTTATACTATGTCTGAATTCGTTCGGGAATCCCTCAGCTCCCCGACATTAGCTGTGATGAGTGATGCGGCCGGCGCTATCAGCTGGGTCAGATTCGACAGTGACGGGAGCCGCCGGCCGCCGCGCTGCGCTCCTAATTAATAGGCCACCGAAGTTGTAACGGCCGGGTACCGCGGTGTAAGTGTTGTTTATAGCCGGTGGAGGGCGGCGCGGCAGCCCGCTTTATGGCTGGTATCTTCGTTCAATGATCTGTCCGGCCAGGGTGAGCTTGCACTCGGCTCTGTGCAGGCCGACTGGCTGACGGTAGGCGGCGGACTTTGACTGACCGACACCGGGCTACTGATGTGACTAGAGCCGGAGCGCTGCGCCGACCCCCACAGCCAGGATTAGTGTATGTGGCTGCAGTGGCAGACTGTCTCGGTCTGCACGGCTGCGGTGTGTCCTTTTTTCGGTGCCGCTCCTGTTCTGTGCAATAAGCTCCTGTGTCTATTCTGGTCCGGTCTGGAGTTATTTCTTTGACGTCCCCTCTGACCCGGACTCAGTGCTGTACTGGTTCCTCTGTGACGGTCACGGTGCACTCTTACCTGACACTGTACCCCCTGTGTGCCCTCAGGCCTGGGAGGACCGGCGGCGCGGCTGCCGCGACCCACCTCCCTGGCGGTGGACCAGCGGAGAGCCCTGAAGGCACCGCAGCCGCCTCTGACCCGTGAGTGCACCCGCTCCCTGCGCCCCGCCTGTGACCCATGGGTGACCCCGGCCCCTGTACTCCGCCTCTTACCCGCTGTAACAAGAGTGACCCCTGCCACTGTAACCGTCGTCCCGGTGACGTGTCTCGCCGCAGCTGCAGACGCTCTCTCCAACCCTGATTACTTTAATTGATTCGCCGCCGGCTTTTTATTAACGCGTCACATCCGTTTCCGCCCCCTTTTCACACCTGCTGCAAAAACCACGGCCGGCTGATACGGCGCCCACCGCAGCCTCGCATTATGTCCGACATAGGCCGGCCCGCGTCAGCACGCCCCGCCCGCGCGACGGGTGCCGTTTTTATCCCCGGTAATAGCTCGGCGAGCTTCCAACTAATTAAGGCGAGAATACGGCTGGAGAGAGGCGGCTGAACACCGGAGGCCGCCGCGCCAGCTGCTGCACGGTTATTGAGATGTCCGACCGCTTCCGAATGCCATCAGTTATCGCTAACGGCGCAGCTGTCGGCCGCCGTATGAGATGGAATGGCGGTCTTGGCGTTTGCCAATCATGTTTCGTACAGTCTGAGACCGAATCTACCGTATCTACTTGTCCACAGTGCCTACTAATAGTTCCCCTCATTCTGTCGCCCTTGCAGTGGGCAGTAATTATACTGTGCACTGGTCACTGACTTATTCGGCCCCGCGCCTGTGCAGCGGCCCACCAGCCAGTTGTCCACCGTCCACTAACGTTCCCCTCGGTCCCGCGCAGTGGGCAGTTGGAGTAACTTTACGGCGTCCACTGACCTCCATCCGTTCCCCTTGGTCCCGCGCAGTGGGCAGCCAGAGTTTCCCGACGCCGATGGAGGAGCCGAAGCGGACTCTGCAGGCGCTCTACATGGGCTGCACGCCGGTGCCCAAGCCGAGCGGGATCGACGTGCTGAACCAGGCGCTGACCAAGCTGTGCGGCCAGTCGTCGCCGGCCGAGTGGCGCTCCGTCAGCGTGTCCGTGGCGCCGTCCACCGTCACCGTCAACGACGCTGAGGTGGGGAAAGGGGAACGGAGAACGGATGCTGGGAAGGGTGCGGTAGATGGATATTGCATACTCACGCTGGACATGGACATTTGCTGTGTTACCATGTTAGCTTATTTTGCAAAAACTCTCACAGATTTATGGGTCATGTTCTGCTCTCAGCGTTCTGCAGCTGGATGTATGTGCCAGGATGTACGACTTGCGTGTGTCAGTCTCACACAGTTTTCCTATCTCTAGTACAAGCAGTGTCGCGCGTTGTATCCGCTGCCGCGCCTCTGACCGCTCCCCCTGCCGCCTGTCTGATGTCCCCCAGACGGAGGAGCAGCTGGTCGAGTGTCGCGTGCGCTTCCTCTCGTTCCTCGGTATCGGCAAGGACGTCCAGCAGTGTGGCATCATCGTGCACACCTCGCAGGACGTGTTCATCGCGCACGGCTTCAGCTGCTCCACCTCGGCCGGGCCACTCTGCAAGACCATCGAGGCCGCCTGCAAGGTGGGTGACGGTCACAGGACTGAGAGGGAGCAACGAGGGAGGGTGGGAATGACGGTAAGTGCAAGGGAAAGAGTGTGAAGTGAGGAATCGATGCCGGAAGAGAATGATGAGATGGCAAGTTGAAAGGAGAGAGACTTGACAGAAAAGGGAAGAGAGGTCGGCAATATGTCACGTGGGCATGGAAAGGGTTTAGCCGCGGACTCTGGTTCTGGGCTGAGAAGCGGAGGTGGGAATGGAGCTATGATGCGGTCGACCGAGCGGTCGACAGGTACGGCTTTTGGTCACATTGGCACGATTCGTGAGCTGAGGTTTTGGCTGTGGTCGGCATTTTGACGCGCTCGTTGTGTCAGCTTTTTTTAGTGCAGTCTCTGGAAATTCTGGAAGTGTAACACAAATTATACTTTCAAATCGTTTCAGCTGAACTATATAATATTCGCGGAAATCGAGGATATAAACATTTGAAGACATTCGCTAACGTGGCCGTACCTTTATGCAGTAGCAGCTGAACACCTTCAATTAGAGGGGGGGGGGGGGGTACTGCCGACTTTTGGTCCCATTCTTTCCATGCAACGCCCGTACTAGGGCTAATGTTGAAATGCCAAAATCAAAGGGGGCACGACGCCCCGGTGCCCTCCCCGTTCCGCCGCCTATGCCTTTATGTACGAGGGAGCATTGCCGATTGTGTTTGCATACCTACCTTTTTTCTTAAGCATTGACTTACATTTTGATGTCTTTTTTGTGGGAAGTTGTGATAAATTGTATCGGTTACCTGGAAATGGAATATTTCATATCGTTATTTAAGCTAAACAATGCCCTTTTCATAGAAATCGGGTTTTAATCAAGTTCAAAGCAGCACGACGGTCTGTGTGGCCATTGGTATCACGCGAGAGTGACACCAATGGACCACATTGTCTTACATTTGTCGCCTTGGCATTGTCCTTATTATAAACAAGTTTTTATTGGGTTATCTGGAAACACGACTTGCATGAAGACCCGAAAACAACGTTTACGTCATGGTTTCCTAGAACCACTGGAAAATGTTCGGGGAACACCAGCGTCCCTGTGCCGTGAAGTCAGATGTGGAATAGAAGCGATAGTTAGCATTTCTTCATGACAGTCCCTGCCGCCACAGCCATTCCCCGACCAGAAATAGCGATACCCAAGGGACGGCGCCAGTGGTAACGGCGTTACCCAAGAGACGGTACCGGTGGCAACGGCGTTGCCTCTGGAGCAGTGGGCTGTGGCGAGGAAAAGCGGTCCAGAGTGCCGTCTACTGCTGCGGCACAAGCCAGTGGCTGCGGCGGACCGCTGCATTGCCCAGTCTCTGCGGCTACCGCAGCCCACATCCTCTGGCCGGCCGACTGACCGGTGGTCAGTCTGACCGACCGAAAGCGGTTAATTTGACCGACTGGTACGGGGACCCGCAGTTGCTACTGTACACGAACCCCAAGTCTAACCGTCTGTCCTGTCCAGTAACAACCGATAACATTGATATCGACTGCTGGTCCCTGTACAAGAGCAGCTGAGGTTTCCTGTGAGTACCCTCTGACAGCTTATCGTTGTTCCCTGTGAGGGTGCTGGGACAATTTACTCAGGGTCGCTGTACAGTAGCACCTGCGGGTCCCTGTACTCAGCACGGCTGACCGCCCAGGCCGCTGAGCTCTGACGCCACAGTGAGGCTGGTGAAGCCGGTCTGTGGGACGCCAGTTACCGTTCCCGCCCGACCGAGGGTGGCCAGCGGCCTGATGGTCCATCGCCGACCGCGCGGCCGCACCTCAGCCGCTCACCACACGACGGGTGCAGCGTGGGCCGCCCACCGCCCACCGCACGGTCTGTCTAACCACCCGTGCCGTCCGCCGTCAGACTGATGGATAGGTGCAATGAATGGGTGCGACAAATATCCTCGGGGGCTCCGCCACCCACCGCCCGCCGTCCACCGCCCACCGCCCGCAGTCGGCTCGGACGCTGTTTTCCGACCGCCTTATGGTCATGAACGTTACGAAATAGCGACTTCGAGTCGGTATTTCATTATCGGCTGGTGATTTATCCACCGAGCGTAATGAAGTGAAATTACGAAATGGCCGCTGACAGGCCAAGGTGACGATATGATAATGTGATGGGTTCGAAAATGGAGGTGTGGCATTGAGGTAAACAGAACCGTGGCCGGCCTTTTAACCAAATTATCAGTTTTGTTGTAGCGGTAGAAATGTATTCTGCCTTCGCTAGTTTTCCTATCCGTCATTGTTTGTACCCGATCCCAATTGTTTTGTCTGCGCTCACTCATGTCTTGTGTTCATTCGTCAATGTTTTATGCTTTTGCAGTTGTAGGCGTGAAATATAAACACCGATCATCGGCCCATGTCCTACCGATCGCGTCTCAAAAGGCATAGTCAACTCTGTCACCCAGTGTTTGTCTGTCGGCTCCACATTAGTCGCAGCGCTGAGCTGGTTGGACTGGGATGTGGGAATGCCTGCCTTCTCTGACCCCGGCGTCCACCCCTGTGTGCCGCAGCTGCGCTACCAGAAGTGTCTGGACGCGCTGCCGGGCGGCGGCGCCGGCCGCGGCGCGCCCGCCCAGTCGCGCACCTTCGGCCAGACGCTCAAGTCGGTGATCGGCTCGTTAGCCGGACGGCGCCTGCGAAGTATGGACTCCTGAGATACGGCCTCACCTCCGCAGGTAAAACGCGCGCGACCCCGGGCCGGCCCATGGCAGCCGGGAACGGCGGCAATGCCTAACGCCTGCCGTAATTGTGTAATAACGCCTGGCAGTGATATGTTGTACTTGTAATGGCATAATTGGAGTAATGGTAAATTGCTTTTGCGGAGGCATCCGGCAATCTGAATTGTTGTCAGGTCGTTCAATTCCAAAGGCCGCGGTCGTATGTATGTAAATGTCGGTGCGTTGGTGCCGACTGTAATGACCGTGCAGCGGTAATAATGACCGTGTACGCGCCGCGACTCTGACTGACCGCCGTGTGTGTGTGCCCCGACAGTACGAGCTGGCCGCTGCTGTGGAGTGTGAGGTGATCCCGCACAGACACCTGGTCAGCAGGAGAGCCGCCGGCGACGACCCGGTCAGCCAGCAGCTGGCGGCGCTGGTGTCGCCCGACCTGGCGCCGGCCGCCGCGCTGCCGCTGCCGGCGCACACGGTCAGCGCGGCCAGCACGCCGCTGGCCGGGCCCGGCGACTGGCCGCCGCCGCAGTACAGCTGGTGCCGACCGGCCGGGCCCGCCGCCGCCGTCACCAGTCCCGAGGCGGCGCTGCGCCGGCTCCAGCTCGGCTGAGCGAGCCGCGCACAGCGGCAGGGCGGGCGGGCCGCCGCGCCCGTGTAGGGAGACTGGAGGACGACCGTCACGTGTGTCCGACCGTGTGTGTGTGTGTGACTGTGTGGGACGCGTGCGCCGAGCCGGTGTGTGTGAGAGATCAGCGTGACCAGTGCCATGGACGGGAGCGGGAGCGGCCTCGGAGCGAGTCGGATCCGTGTGACATATCTGTGCCGCTTTGTGGGGCCGTCGGCCCAGCAGCCGCCGCGGCCCGCCGCCCCAAGTATACTGTACATACCGGACCGGCCCGATATTTACGTGTCAGAGTGTGCGTGGAGATGGGTGTTCCACATTCCGCGCCCGCGCGCGCGCTGTGTCAGTGTCGCGCCAGGGGCGGGCCGGGCCGCCGGCGCCGCTGCCCGCGGCAGCTACCCCCCCCCCCTTCCCGCCCTCACCCTCGCCAGTTCCGTTTCATCGTCAGTGCGCGCCGCTGAGCTAGCAGCTAGGCGCGCGCTGCCGAGAGCTCGGCGGGCGCCGCGCCGCCTCTCGGTGGTGCTACATTCCGTCGGCGGACCGACGGACGGACGCCGTCGCCGTCAGGCAGACAGGCAGCTCTTTACGGCTTCTAGAGAATGCACTATACACTAGCTTTAATCATGTAACAGAGTCAATAAAATACCGTTATGTTAAATACACTGTGTTGTTACTTTATGATAGAAAACACTGCTCGTCTCGCGAAAAACTGAAATTATTGACAACGGTTTCGGCACGCGCAGTGAACTGATCCACATAAACCAATCCTTTAAAAACAATCTGGTACAAAAGTCGGGAGCTACTACAGCAAACAGCTGCTATATTTGGTTCCAATCCGACAAAATATTCAGCGAACCATACGAGCCATGTGAAGGTCAGCTCAGCCTCGGGCTGGCCACATCACTCGCTCAGACAGTGTCATATCCAAAGCAGGCCGCTGCTTATCCGGGTAATGCGTCTATTCTAATAGCCCTTAAAAATGGTACCTCTTATAGTATTTATACACACGGGCCCCTATTCATAAAATGACTATGAAATCTACGTCTATGACGAGCAATGATGGGAGGGTGTAGTAAACAAGAGGAACAAAACTATCATGTACGGGCCCCTATGCTACCCACGGAAACAGGTACAATGTCAACAGCAACACAACGAGACCAACCGCGCCTGTCGGCTGACAGCAAAATAAGCGACTGAAACAATGACTGAATTTTGCTACCTCAGGGCAAACAAAACCAAAAGCTGAATACGGGTCCCTCGGATACGAAAGCCGGACCAGACACGACCAGAGTGGCATCAGTGCAGCAACGACGACAGCCGTGCACATTTTGGGAGAATACAGACGGCGATTGGCTGAGTAAAACTTAAATAACGAACAACATTGACATGACCAGGGACACTGCGTGTCTCCCTCACGTCTTGAGACCTGTCTCGCTCAGAGGGCCCGCTCCGAGGGGAACGAGGCGCCGATCGACTTCATCATGGTGAAGCAGTCTTTGAGGCGGCGCTTGTCGCCTATCTTCTCCAGCGTGGCGGCCGCCTCCGTCAGCATGCCTGCCCGCTCTCCGGGACAGGAGATCAGGTCTTCGGGCAGGTGTTTGCAGGCCATCATCAGGGCGATGGCGTGCTCTCGCTCGCCGACGTACTGGTGCGGCTGCTTCTCAGAGCCTGCGGACGGGGACGGAATGGTCATGGAAGGACAGGCACGCCAGTGGGAACACATTACACAGCAAATTTAGAGAGATACAATGCACACCACAGCAGGAGAGTCGCCCACACACACCCGCCCTGGGTTAGTCAAGCTTCCCAGTTCGCATCGGTGCGGTCGGCACAGATGGCGCCACAGTTACGCGGCGCACTCAACTCGGTTCATCCCTCCTCCACACACACACACTTTATGGGTCATGCGCCCAGTTGGAGGACACAAGATGCTTCAATGCATTTGAAGCAATGCATTGCAGCTACCGAGAAGATAACCCTATGCCAGGGCCTAGCTGCTAGTGGCCAATGACCCCCAACGGCCTGCCAGGTAATGACATACATCACCGTCAGTACATACCGGGTAGTAAGGCCCGCCCGTGAACAGCGCACCAGGATAAGATAGGGAAGTGCAAACCTTTTTTGTTACGACAGGAACGGAAAAAGTGACGAGCGAACTCGTGGAAGGTGATGAAATCGTTATCGAACAACGCATCACGACGCATGCAGTTTTTGCCACCTGAAGATTGGACTGGGCTTACGGCAAGCTTATCGAGTGAGTGGAAAATTTTCAATGATGTGCTGCAAAGTCATCACGACTACATCATCAAAGCCTCAACACTGCCCATGACAGCCCGCTGACATCCCACGTCTTGAACAGCTCTCATCCTTTCCAGCCCTCTCCTTGCATTTCGCATCCATCCAACCCTCCCTCTTCGCTCGCAACCCGCCAACCCACCCCTCCTTCGACATTCCTCAGACACTACCCCTTCCACCAGGATGGTCCTGTCCAGTCACGACACCCACACACATCCCTCCCATGCCTCCCCTTTGCTGGCGCCCTCCCACTCACCGCAGATGACAGAGTAGCTGCGACCGCTGCGGTTGCGCAGCGACCTCTCGAGCAGCTGCTGGGTGCGCGCCGGCGCCGCTCCGGCCATCATGCGCACGGTGGCCTCATGCAGAAAGACGCGGCTGAGGGCGCACGGCAGGCGCACGGAGACTGCTCGCAGACAGGTGAGCACCTGCTGGAACTCGGCCAGCTGGCGGCCGGCGGGCGGCACCCGCCGCGACTGCTCCCAGACGCCGGTGCGCGTCTGCAGCAGCAGGTCACACACCAGCAGCTGGATGTGCTGGGGAAGAGACGGGGAGGGCGGGTTAGGCTGGGGCATAGTCGCAGACACTGGGGTTACACGTCAGTAGGGGATGCACAACATCAATTGATGTAACGGATGCAGGCGCAATAGACATGGCGGTTGATGTGTTTTGCCGGGCATGTACGGCTCTCGCGAGATTAAGCGGTAGGTTTTGCACTTTTACATTTCCGGTTATATCTCAGAAACTAATCGATCTACGATGAAGCCATTTTACAATTTACACGATCATGGCCGGCTTGTTACCCAACAAGTCGATCGCATCTTCAACACTTAAAAGCTTAAGATGACGAAGATATAGCCTGAAGTACACCAAATATTCTAGGTGCAAAACCTACCGCTAAAACCCGCGAGACCTGTACGAGAATATAGATTCCCATTTGCCAACAGCTTTCCGAGAGCCGCAGGGAGTTATAGCCCGTAAGTCGCTGATGTTACAGCTGTAGCACAGGCTGATGCGGAAATCTGACCCGAAAGCAAACATAACACAGTTGACGCGAGGCATTGCTCCATCAATACTAGGAAACGTTAGTAATCCATCCTGTACTACTGCCGATTCATCCCTATAATTCTCCAATCTTCACTTGTGAGACCCAATTTAAGGGCCCCAGCCCCGCGACCACCGTTGCACCCGTCGCCCCGTCGATAGTACCCCGCGGAGTGTTGCACTGCAGGAGCATTGCACCGTCAGAGGCGTGCAATGCAACTACAATGCACCAGCCCGGGAGGCAGCCGTTCTCGTCGATCAGACTCGCCCGGCGCGCGACCTTGTGCCATTCAGTCTCCTCGTCTCGCCGTCAAACATCGGGCGGATCATCTCAGACGCGCAGAAGGCATGCCAGCTGTGGCTTACGGCGCCCGACGAATGTCGAGAGGGCAGGGAGGGCGCCGCGCGGCCCGCACAGACGGGATACGGTTACACTGCCGACAGCCGACTCAGCAGATGTCGGTCACAGCCAGCCCTCCTCTCGAGGGCAGTGAATGAAACACGAGCCTTCCCCTCCCCTATTCCCCACCCCTACCCTTCCTCTCGACAAGAATGAAGGGTGCACCAAATGTTCCCTCTCTCGTGGTCTGAGTCAGAGGACCACTCCTCCCCTCCCCTCCAGAGTGAGTGACGGGTAACCAGCCCTCTCCCTCCCTCCCCTCCTGTGAGTGAAGTGTACACCCGCTCCCCTTCCTCCCCTCCCCTTTCCGTCAGACCCGCCCCGATCGTCTCACCTGTGTGGCCACGCTGGTGACGCCCGTGCAGCCGCTCAGTGTGATGCTCTCCTCGAGCAGAGCGGCCGACACGCGGCAGGCGGGCAGCACCTGGGCAGGGCCGCCGCCGCGCGACTGGCACCGCCACGCCTGCAGGGCCACGCGGACGGCGCGCGGCAGCGGGTCCTCTGTGTCGTGCAGCGGCGCCGGCAGCGCCTCCACCCGGCCGTAGAGCTCGGCGGCGCGCTCGTCCTGGCCCAGCCACCAGACGGCGATCAGCTCGGCGACGCCGGCCCACCAGCGCACCGCCGCGTCGTCGGCGGCGCGCGTCTCGGTCGTGTCCGAGACCAGCTGGCAGTAGCGCAGCGCGTCCGCCACGTGACTGCGCCGCAACAGGTCCTTGTCACAGACGTCCACGCAGCGCGCGCCCGGCATGGTGAGCGTCTGCACGGTCCGCTCCAGTAGGTGCTCGTGAAATAGCTGTGGATGGACGGAGACATGGCGCCGGTCAGACCGGGCGCGCGTGTTACACCACACAGACTCGGAGACACGCGGACGGTAGCACTAGCGGACGGCAGCACTAGTGGCGGACGCCGGCAGCAGACTGGGGACCGGCCCGGCAACTGGCGGCGGAAGAATGTGAACCGCCGCCGCCGCCGCCGGACGCCAGATTCCTATCGGCCGCCGCTCGTTTTTTATGCCGCCGCCACCTCCGCCGTCTGTTTTTTTTTTTTTTTTGTGAACTCGGTCACGCGCCGTCCCACCCAGAGACCCGGCTGTTTTTTATGGCGTTTTTTAGGACGCCCGAGCGCCACCAGCCGGGTCACCTGGCCCTTATTGGCGGAATTCGGGACAGCGACTGTATTTCGAGTACCGTCTCAGCCGAGGCGAGGACCTCAAGTATCTGACGCAATATTAGCAAACAATGAGTCGCTAAGACGCATTCAAGTCACGCACAGCACGTACTTCTCAAAGTATTCAAAGCATTACATAACATAAATGCCCCGGAGAACGACCTAAAAAGTGATTCGCTCAAGCGTGTTGTGGTTTCTCAATTTCGCGTATGAAAAATCAATTGACCTTGCAGAGGTAGGAAAATTCCAGTACACAGTCACGAACTCGCTAAGCTCCGGTACTAGAAATCGCAGTTCCAATCAAGCAATACGTTCGATGATATGTCGACCTTTATATTTTCAGATTACACCCAGTCATTACAATAACTTAGGTGCCAACGGGTCGACCCACCGTCACAGGATAAAGCTGTCACAACTCTGAGTCACCTAATTCAAACCTCTCAGCCCCCGCCTCCCGACCACCTCCCGTCGCCTCACCTGTCTGACGTAGAACAGCGGGCTGGCCGGCGGCGACGAGGCGAACATGCTGCTCCGCTCCTTCTCGTACGTCCACTTGTGCTCCATGAAGAAGCGCATGCCGTCACTAGTCGCCAGCCAGCGCAGGCTGACGGGTACCGTCTCCAGGCCGGCCAGACCCTTCTGCAGGATCAGGCGCGCCAGCCAGCCGCACATGTCCGGAAGGGACTGTTTGAGCTGCAGCGCCGCGCAGGCGAACGTCTCGGCGCGGCAGCTGGGCGACAGGGCGCCGCCGGCCACCTCAGCGTAGTTGAGCGCCGCCAGGGACAGGGTGAGGCCCGGCACCCGGCCGTCCGGACCGTGACCGGACAGACTCAGCTGGTGCAGACGGTGGTAGACGCGCGCGTAGCCGGCCGACATCATGTACAGGTCCTCCCGCTCCCGTCTGATGGAGATGGGGGGGGGGTGTTGGGTCACGTAGGTCGTCATTGAGCGGGACGAGATGGATATAAATATATTAGTGTTTGCGAACGCTAAGAAAATATATGACGAAATTTAGGAACTATAGTGTGAATATGTGCATTAATTTGGAATACCTGAGTGGGCAAATCGATCACATTTGAATGACTATGACTTAACTGTTAGCTGATTCGTCGGCACCTTCCTTCCACCATTCCCCACTCATCCGTAATAATTTGGTTAGAACCGTCCAATGCCCACAAAACGTATGTGTATATCATGCAAAGCGATGCAATGTTTGTGTCTAGAAAATCCGCATTGAATGAGTCTGGCAAGGTCGAGATAAGTTGTCTAAAGTTACACAAACCCTAACATCATTACTGATTCCAGGCAGCAGCCGTTGTCTCGCCGTGCCCAGTTTCAACCGCGGCACCTGGCCTTGCCAATCACCGCCGCGCCGTTGCGTCATGTTTGTCTACCGGTAATCTGGTGACCTTTGAGCGGTTGTTCACGAGCCGGTCAGCCGGCGGCCGTGTACCGGTCAGGCGCACACCGTGTGACCGGCCAGTGTGGAAGAAGCCCGCCACCGACCGGCGCTCCTCAGGTGGGGTCATGAACTGGGAGTACTGCTGACGGCACCGGCGGGCGCGCCGGCCCCGACCGGGCGAGTGCACGGGCACCGGGACCGGTCGGCGATCGGTGCCAAGTATTTGGCCTATTCTCCCGGCGACGTCGGCCGAACGCCGGTATAAATAGTCACATGTCGTTCGGAGTGGGACGAGAGCACTACAGGCCGTGCGTGCGCGGTACGACAAACAAGGTGCTGCCGATGCTCAGAGATCGTACACAACATGACGATAAAAAATTAAACCCCATCCGTGACGATCGGAACTCGTTCTTTTTATTTAAAAAAAAAAACTTACAATATTCCACACGGAACTTTTCTGGAAGAAATTTACATAAAACCGCCAGATGTTAAAAGCTGTCATCCAATACAACTCATTTTTGAAGAGTATTTGCATTAGGGTCGGGTAAATAGACGTATACAGTTTTTGAGTGACGCATTGGACTCTATTACGTAGGATTCGAGTAACTAACATCACGGCAAAACACCAAACGTCTCGTATAATTGCCCCGGCAGTCCTTTTCATTATAAGTGCTCTGTTATCGTAAGCAGAGAAGACATGTTCATTTTTCTTTAAATTAAAGAAAAACACACCTATATCTTATAAGTAAACCTGGCTACATCGGTGATCAGTGTCAATAAAAACACACACAAACACAAAAGTAACGGCAAAATTGTTTCGCAAATCTTCATTTCAGAAGTGTTTCAATGAGCGCGTAATTTTGCACTGCCTATTCGTTTTGACGTGTTTCAAATAAAAACTGAAGGATGTTAGCCACTCCTCCTCGTAGCTACTCACAAGAATGTCGACTGGGCTTGTCCAGGCCACGACCAATCCCACGGCTTCCCCTGCGACACTGACCTGGACATGAGCACGCGGTGTCCGCGGCGCGCCAGCCATAGTCCTCCTGGTATGTGATGGGACGCCTGTCTGAACACCTGCCACACAAAGGCCACCGCCCACTGCAGCGCAGAGCTCGGCACCGGCTTGGAGATGTGGCGCAGGCTGCGCTCCAGATGGTCACGAGCCTCGGCGATCCGACCCTGCGGCAGCGGCGCGAGCGCGCGGTGAACAAACAATCACGGGGCGCCGCCCGGCGGTGGCGGTGGGCGGGGCGGGCGGCTGCGGGCGGCTGGCGAGGCGCCAGTCAGCACCCACCGGCCAGCTGGCTATGGGTGTACGCTAACACACCGGAGCACCGCCCGGACGATACCGCCGGCTCCGAGCCGCTGCACAGACTGAAACGCAGCGCCTGCACCGCCCGAGATGAAACTGCGTACTTGGAAACACAGGCTGTGTATGTTTGAACTAGATAGGGCCGGTTTCATAACAACTAGGCACCGCCAACGTCGGTTCTCAGATATATGCATACGAATAATAAGTTACCGTCCTGCAATCTCATTTAAAAGTTTATTAGAGCACAAAGTTGATGTTAGTAGTCTCGGCGCTCTGTGTGGTCTCCTTACATTGCGATGATCTGTCTCTCCCTGTTCCTTCATCTTCCAGAAGGCGCGCGCGGCGTCACAGTGCAGTGCCACCTTGGGCTCTCCGTAGATGAAGATGTTCAGCAGCAGGATCAGGAAGATGACGACGTTCGTTAGCCATACAGTCACCGGAGAGAACAGCATGGTCCACCACGAGCTGGGCTCTGTGAAACAGGTCAAGGCCGCCGTGATGTCAACACGCACTGCGCGCCATGGTTGGCAGGCGTTCCGTGGTTGATACCATTAGCAATGCGTCAGCCAGGAACGCGTGTTTATCTGCCGTATAAACAGAGCGGACAGGAAGCGGGCGCGACTGCCAGACTGAGCCGCCAACTGTCACTACATAAATCTGACATAACTGTCAGACCAGCGCTCATAACACGACCGTGACAGTCATCAAACTGCACATCGTTAGAAGAGTTTCACGGTCTCCCGGCCGAGAACTACCTTGATTCTCGCATACCGTGCCCCACCCGCGCCAAAACAGCCATCCCGGACGTCTCCCACGTTCCACGTGTCCCACCACGTGCCACGTGTAACTCACCTGGCTCGGCGGAGAGCATGGTGCGCCCCGCCACGGGTGCCGCCATGGAGGCCGGCGCCAGAGAGTCGCGGCCCCACTCGGTCACCTGACGCACCGGGTTGAACGCCAGGAACGCCAGCAGGAACATGCAGAGCGTCATGCGCGTGCGGTCCGACAGGCCCGGCGGACTCGGCAGGCCGAACTCGAACGCCACGCGCTGTGAGTGAGAGGGGAGAGGGGAGGCATTAGGTCTCCGGTGACGAGCGGTGCACGCGATGGCCTGTATAAATAACGGTAACCTGAGAACTGGTTATTGGTTACCGCTGACCGAGGTTACCTGCTGACGTCATTGGCTTCAGCTCATGACACTTGGGTACCTGCCGATCAGCATTCACACTCAGTGAGATCTATTGCGGGATGTGTGTGACATCGCTGAGGCAATGCGGACCAGCATTGTAATGCAATCAGCACAGCGATCTCATGTTTAGCATGGCTGGTCCGCCCAGACGGGTCCGGCTGGCGTCATGTGATCACCGCTGTTACTAACCAGTTTATGTAATTCAGCAGATCGGTAGACGTCACACGTGACCTACACACTCACCTACATGGGAACGGTCGAATATAGTTACGAAGCACCGAGCCTTGTGTCCTCTACGTCCCACGCCCCAGACCATAAGAGAAGACAAGAGGCTACAATTACAGCTCGCCTCGCTCCCTGCCGTCGCTCCACTGTCGTACTCACCTCGTTATACTCTGTGCTGACGGCGGGCGGCGAGAGCACACTGCCCGGCGACGGTGACGAGGAGCTGGGAGACCCAGTCGGCTCCGAAGAGCTCGGCCCGCCGCTGGCCTCGTCCGGGCTGGACGGACCCGAGTCCGTGTGCGGCGGACTGCTGTACACAGAGGGGCGCAGCAGGTCCTCCAGGCGGGCAGAGGACGGGTCGATCGGCTTACGCAGCACGCGCAGCTCGTCCCGGAACCGTTGGTTCTGGTGCTTCAGGAAACGGATGTAGTCGATGGCCTTCTTCAGGATCGCTGACTTGGTCATCTGTGAATGTGACGACAGAACGATGGAAGACGAAACTGCATGAAGAGTACTTCACTTTAAAAAAAAAAAATGGTGCGAGAAAATAAGTGACACAGGTGACACGATAACAAAACTGGATTGCGGCGAACTACTTTGTTCGCAACAATTCTCAGAAAACAAGAAATCACACTATCACACCTAAAAACACCCTATCAATAACAATCAACCAAGACAAAACACACAAGATATTACTCTACAAACAAAAGGAAGGCGCACCTTTGAGTCGCTGTCGGGCCCGCAGACGAGCACCCTCATGTCCTGGATCTTGTCGTTGATGCTGGTCCGGTAACGTTTCTCGATGGCGTTGTGTGAGTTTTTGCGCGGCGGCTCGTCACCGGCGGTGGAGGCCGAGGGGGAGACGCTGGCGGGGCGCGGCCGGCCGCCGCCCGCCGGGGTGCTCGGCGGCAGTTTGCTGATGGGGAGTCGGTCGGCGTCCACCAGCAGCGGGAAGCCGGCCGTGACCAGGGTCGGCACGGCCACCGGCGCGCCGTTCAGCACCTGGGACGGCACCGTGGTGTAGATCACCGGCGAGCCAGACACCGCCTGGAATGAGGGGAGGGAGGGGTCAGTTACGCCCGATACCTTCCATAATGGAAGGGAGGAAGAGGTTAGTAATGGTCACATATAGGCCCGGCCAACGACGTCGGGCTACGGGCAAAAAAAAAAAAAAAACTCAAACAAATGCACTAACATTATAGCTTATTCAGAGCCATCCCCTGCCACATTCTGCTCTATTTCTGTTAACTCTTTCTAGTCAGTATCCACTATCCACCCTTATTTCTCCCAGGCTCCCAGTCATCTCACCAGAGTGGTCTGGGGCTGTTCCGTTTTGATGATCTGCGCCGGCGTGGAGGCCACGGTAGCCGCTGTCGCGCCGGCCGGCATCTGCCCGCTGATGACGTACGTCTTCCCGTCAATGACCACGGGCGTCTGGGAGACGATGGCGGCGGCCGGCAGCGGGCGCACCGGCTGCACGGGCCGCGCCGCCGCCGCCGCCGGCTTCTGCTGCGGCGGCGACGGCAGGCTGGCCTCCTCGCGCTTCACACCGGGCACGGCCAGCCAGTCGGCGGGCGGGTCGGCCGCGCCGCCCCCGGACCGACCGTCGTCCGCAGGGCCCATCGGCGCGTCATCGATACCTTCGAGCAGGGACGACTCATCGCCCAGGTTACCGATGATGTCTGAGGAAAGAGAGAGAGAGTTGCCAGTTGAATAAAAGAGGGTGGGACAGAGGGTGAGAGAATAATGTGACTTGGATGCTCTTTGGGTATAGGTATTGCATAACACCTGAGTTTGACTACTTAATGCACAGTAAAAATGTTTAAACACCACTTCAAAAAAAAAAAAAATGCATGAGTCATGAAAAATAGTCAGAAGTTATAGTCATGCACCTAAAATGATGCAAAGAGTAAAGAAAAATAAACATAAATATAAAACAAAAAAATGGTGTCCAGCCAGCCCATAAACCACAAAAAAAAACAGCATAGTACCTCACCTTCTAATGTCAAATTGAAGTTCTTATTGCACCAGTCATGAATATCATCTGCCATGATTGAGTGCCTGTTGGAGAACTTGTTATGCAGTATTCACTTTTCTTGCAATCCGCACTAAAGGTTCCTGCAACAACCAAAAATGCTTAGGCATTGAAGTACCTATATAAAATCTCATCAATAAACATTTAAGTTTATTGTTAATTCCTTAGAACATTAGCGTCGCCACGGGGGGGCAAGCGGGGCAGCTTGCCCCCCCAACCTCGGACCGGGCACCCCCTGAGATCGATACAGATCCGATGAGATTTTGGAGTCGGGGAAAAAATGGGGGTACCTTTCTGAGAATGCCTGTGAGGTCAGACTCGGTTGAAGGGTACAGTTCAAGCCAGAATCGGAGTCGCAGTCGCCAAAATCTTCACGACGCCGATTCCAGACTCGGGAATGTCAATACTGTGATTCATTCCATGTTCTTTATTACCTACATTTTATAGCCAATTTTTATAAGTTTTGAAGTGCTGACACAAAATTTCCGTTCAAAGCGTGACACTAAATCTTCGGGCCTTCATAACTCTCGTCAAATGTCTGCTACAGACTCAAGTACCGTTCAAGTGCCACAGGGCTCATGAGCTTGCTTTTCACACAGGCTCCGAAGGACCTCCACTGAGCTCTAAGAAGCCTTCAGAGGGCCCAAACCGGCCTCTGAGAGTCCCACTTGTATCCATATTCTCTGAGGGCTCATACAGGGATCTTTGAGGACCTTACACATGCGTAGACCTCTGAAGGGCCACATGGATCTTTGAGAATACTTTCGAAAATTTCTGAGAACCTTAGGCCTCTGATAGCTCAGCCGAGCTTTTGAGGCGACAGATTTTGCTGAGCCCAAGCCGGCAGCTTAGGGGTCACAACTCACGTGTGCCTCTGAGGGTCCCAGCACATGTTTCTTATGTCCCTATGTAGGGTCCTTAGGGATTCGACACAGACCTCCAGGGTTCACACTGCTATCTGAGGGCTCCCGGCTCACCCTGGGCCTGGTCTTTTAGCGCCCGCCGCCCACACTGGCTTCTGAGGGCCCCACCTTGGGCTCGGAAAGCCCTAAAGCACCACATACACGTAACTATTTGGGGTGACCAACGCCAATCTTCAGGATCCTAAGCAGGCTTCTGAGAGCTCACACTGACCCTGAGTGGCCTAAAATGGCCTGGAAGTCTCAAGCCTGTCGCTAAGGGATCCCTTGCCGCTATGCCGTGCGAAATTTTGGTTCCGTTAAACATCTTTTTTTCGCGTTTGCAGCACTTCCCTACTCACGAAAAACGAGAAACTTTTTGTTTACACTCTCGTGTGAACAAAATGCCTCCACTCACTGAAGCAAAGATGAATTAGGTACTTCCGATCCACACTTCCAACACTCAATCTCCGCCGAAAGCCCAACTTATGTAGCTACAATCGGCGGCTGGGATAAGCCCTATGCATCCTCTGCGACTGCATGCATGCGTGAATGAAGGTTTCAGCAAGGTGATTCGATTTTTGAGCGTTTTTAACCTTTTTTTGTGGGTGATGATCATGAGCGACGGCCGACGAGCGTCTGAACGGGGGCTCTCTAGAGTGCGTCGGCAATCGCAGCCATTGTGATTCTACCGGTCGTGTTTTCTTTTTGTCCAAAAAATTTCAAAATTTTGAAATTTCTGTAAAAAAAAAATGACATGTCATAGCTAGAAGGAAAACATTGTCACCATCGTATTCCTCGCACCATTACAAGTCGAATGATATGTAGGTAAAATGAATGAGTAACGACTGGAGAAAGGCAAGATTTAACACAAAAGTTGATTTTGCCCCCCCAACCGAAAATCTCTGGCGACGCCTATGCCTTAGAATAATCAATACTATTAGTCATTGCCCATTGCCATGCAGCAGCTTCAATTCCCTTTCAATGCCAGCCTCATGTTCAAAGGCCAAAGCAGTCCAAGTCAACTGTGATTAAAAGGATATATAATGGTTTAGGTTCAACAGAGCCCAACTAAAGGCTTAGCTTTGCAATAAAGTCTAGAATCACTATCACTTTACCCTGAACTTACTCTGCAATCTCGCTGCTGCTCACTTTTGTATTTATCTAGCCTAGAGCTTTTATAGAAGTGGAACATTCATGGCTTTTGACTATTTATTTTATCAAACTATCATTACCTCTTTACAATGTGTATCATTCCCAAAATATAATTTGCAATATTAATGCTACAAAAACAACATTTGCAAGCTAGATGGTGACAAACTTCTGACGCACAGGTGTCTGCAAGAATAGCAATAATGAGTAATGCTTTGCTCTTAAAATTATGCTATTTTTGTTGTATTAATGTCCCGGTATTTATATACATAAGGTCCGATCGCCAAAGTGATTATAACAAACATACCACACGATGTATTTTGGCCTCCTGATTTCATATCTGATAGTAAATCATGGCGCAACCAAGTTTTAAAGCACCTGTAAAATATTTACCGTCACCACCGGCCACTACCGCACTCCACCAGCCGTTTGCACCACGTGGAAAGGATCGAATGAATAAACTCCGAGGTTGAGTGAAAACATTACGCTATTCGATTTTGTTACGAAAGTGACGTCATAATAATACTCGTGGCGGAACAGTGCAGTGCCGAAGGCGATGCCTTAGGAGAGATTACAGGCAAGAGTAAATCAAATATTTTTAGGTTAAGTGGTTATGTATCTGGCTTCAGGCCGAAGGCCTGAAGCCTGATGCATGACCACTTAACCTAAAAATATTTGATTTACTCTTGCCTGCAATCTATTCCTGCAAGTAACTTTTTCCTTATCCCCGGTAGGCAAAAATCAGTAGGTTAGGTTAGGTTAGGTTAGGTTAGGTTAGTTTATGATTTTTACCATTTTTTTCGTCTTTTGTTATTTTGACGTCACTTTCATTGATTATCGTATTTGACCCCGGTTCCCAACATTTCCCCGAAAATGGCAGCAAAAAACTTCATATGGCAGCGCTGAAACGGCGGCGTTTTTCCCTTGTCGCATTCATTCGCGTTGTCGGTGCGTGCACGTGGGTATGTATCGTGTTATGAAGGGGTGTAACAGGTTGTTATTTGTGTGTTTTTTTATTTTTCCGCCGCACGTAAGTATGATATCTGGATTCAGAATGTCAAATAATGTAGAAATATGCAAAATTTATGCTTGAACAGTCAATCGGACCTTATGTAAATATTTACCAATGTCCCTTATTTCACACATGACCTATATGAACCCATCACAAGCCCATTTTCAAAATGAACAAATGTAAAAATTAAATGCTCTTCAGCCAAAAGCTGCTCTTTGATCATTCGTACACTGTTCAGCTCTTACTTAGGAGTTGGTGTGCAGTTTGGTCGTAAAAGTGTATCAGATTCAGCATTGTATTTACTGGAAATGTGACCAAGAGGTAGCTTTTCTGAGTTATTCAAATCACAATTAAGATAACTGTCAATCAGGGCATCCAGTGAAGCTTTGAGTTTCAATTTCAGAGCCAGATGCCCATAATACCATTACAGCAGAAGGAAATGTAAGCTCTTTGTCTTACCTTACCCAGGAACATCAAAATAAGACAATATCAATAAAATACAACAAAATCACCACATGCCCAACATTTCACCTCTAATCTATAATCACAATTTTAACAGTCCCAGAGGTCACTCACTGAATGACGACACTCTTCTACTTTGTGTACAATACCCTATGACTATGGAGAGAACGACAATCAGCTGGCTAGTCGCAATATTTGCCAAAAATATTTCTTGAGAAAGGCGACTGAAAGCTGCTTTACGGTTTTCTTTCTTTTTTTCAATGATTTTGACGTTCAAAAATATACAAAGTAAGTAATTTATCAGATATATGCTACTATTCTTAACATGAAAAGATAAAAAAGAACAAACAATGGGCCATCGGAATATCAGCTGATTAAACTTTGCCCACGAGGTCTTTTATGATGAGGACGAGGATCTACTCACAAAGCAGCAGACGGAAACGTAGCGAGACGTCGCGCCGCGCGATCTGACACACCACGGAATGCTGGATGCTGATTGGTCGAGAACGGCTCAGGCGGAGTGGCGTGATGTTACGTCACGACTCGCCGCCCCTGACCTGTGCTTCCATATTCATGGATGATGCTACCAGATTCAAGTAAGTAGAGAATCCCTTCAACCATCCGTGCAAATCCTTCAGTGGATCTATCAGCAAGTTCGGCGGACGAGCTTTTAGCGGGGACGAAGTGCCTGTGACTGACAAGTTCGATTTATCCAATAAACGTGAAGGATCATCCAGTGGCCGACTAATATGATCTGGCTGACGGATGGGCAAAACGCGAAGGAGCCAGGATAGGTTACATTGATTGCACTGAACAGTGTATGTAGGTATGTGTACATATTGACAGCGTATCTTGTACCTACATCTGTATATTGCAGACAACAGGAAGGCGGAAGCTGTCAACGACCTTCGAGGGTCATCCGATCATGGGCTCAAAGTGCCCACCATTTAAATCCATCATTGCCTTGAATGTGCATGCTAGAACTAAAGCTCTAATGTCTCGTGAAAACCGTCTTTCTGGTTCTCTAAAACGTTCGCTCCCAGGAACCCTCGGGTACGATCATGGCACCGTGTTACAACGAATAAACAAACTGATCCGTTCAAGTATGGCAACTGTAGAGATCATCAGTGTGCGTGGACCGAGGGATTGCAGACAGTTGTGACAAAGCCAGCCCACCTACACGGGCTGTCACTACGGCCGGTTCCGTTCGTCCCACTGGGCAAATGGCAGCAGAGTACGGGTATTCGGCCGCTGCCTCCGCGCACCAAAATGCACACTCTGGATTATCATCCAGCCATAGGTACATCAGCTTCAAACGCATCCTCTCACATTGCGTATAAAAGCGGTTTTTATTGATGCGGTTTCGCGGCGTCAATCTAATCTCCTGGTAATACAGGGCAGCCTACGATCAAAGCTTCGGCGGTTCAACGACAATCGATTATAATGCATGATAATCACCAGTCGCGTTTTCAAGCGATCTCCCGATAAGGCGGTTGTGTTAATCACATACAGTAAACATCACTGATGACTTCACAATCGTCGAAGCAACAGATGCACAGGACATGGCACGTTATACGAGGCGAGGCACACACACCATACGAGTCGGCGCGTATAGGGCCCTACCAATCGTGCTAATTATAACCCTCCAATGGATTCTGAGCATAATGTTGACCGTTGTAATTATGTCTCACGTTGATTATGGAACACATGAAATATAGCATGAATTCTCAATTCAGACAGTGGGTAAAAATGATTCAAGGCAGTGACTACCTATGGGCGATGGGCAACAATATTATGGTCGATGACAGTTCGTGGGCCTTTTTGATACAAGACCATGGTTCTAACAAAATGCAATACTTCACTGGAAAGGTAGGACTTTAAATTAACTCGTACAGCTGCTCCTCTGACTCTTTCGTCCAAACGTGGATGCGATGCACAGGGCGGACAGGAACAACCATCGCCGCACGAATCACAAGACGTGACAAAGCGATTCAAGTACGATTATCACAACAAGCAAAAGCACCGGTTAAAAATGGTCGCATTTCGTATCACAGCAAGCATCTACATCCTGAAAAAAAAACTTTGCAAAGGCTCAGCTATTATTAACCCCCCCCCCCAATACTGGCCTCAGCCCTCCCTCCGCCCTCCCATCACGTCTGGAGGCCCTCCCCGGCGCGCGCCGTCCCCTGCTCCGCGTCTCCGTCCGCGCTGCTGCCGGTCTCCTTGACCACGCCGCCGCGGCGGCACATCAGCTCCACGATACGGGCGATGTTACGACAGTCGTCGATGCCACTGTGGTGCCGCCCGAGCAGCGGCAGGTTCAGCTCCTGCATCAGCTTGTCCATGGCGCGCGGGTAGCTGCCCGTCACGTCGGCCACCAGCTGCGGCAGGAGGCACAGAGGTCAGGACAGAGGTCAGGAGGGAGGTCAGGAGCAGAGGTCACGGACAGAGGTCAGAGACAGAGGCCAGGGGAAGAGGGTAGGCATGGGGAATGGCAGAGGTTAGACAAAAGGGTCGGATTCGGGCTACAACTGCAGTGCATACGCCATAATTAATGCCAAGGAACAAGTCATCCGACTGCAGTGTATGTATCAGTATGTATGTATTTACGATCATGGGCGATCCACACATGGCGTGGCGATTACTGCCCAGCTTTACCTAGCCGGGTCACACGAGCCATGACGAAAGAAGGAACGTAGGTCGCAAAACGCTATCAAAGATAGGAGGTGTCATAACAAACGCAATATGCTGTTCCTCAGACATCCACTGGGCAATGAGCAATATCGAATGCGTGAATCGATCGACGGAAGACCGGCACCACGTCTTATCGTCCGTCGAACAATGACGGACACTCCGCCAATGTATCCCGGGGACCAGAGGAGCTACTGCCTGACGCCGCCGCCCCGAGCTATTTGTCGGTATGTCAGGCCGCGGTGGGGATGGTCTGGGCGCAGTGCCCAGTCAGACAGACACCTGACGGGCGGCTCCGCGTGGGGGCGGGCGTCGGGCGCGGACCGGTGCCAGGACAATAACAACACCCACCGGGTCCGGTGCCAACGGCAGGTGACACAGCCGTCACCGCTCCAGCGCCAGCTAGCGGGCGGTGTTGGCACGGACTCAACCAGCGACAGGGAGGATGAGAGATGACACAACGCTGGACTTCAGTAGGTTTCGCATCACGCAATGATCGGTACCGGCTGACTGCATTATGAACATGATTGCGCTAACAACTTTTTGTATATGTACAAAGCATAAACAAAGCATTGGAGACAAGAGACACACCGGCAAATGATGGCAGGTGAAATCGTTCCTATGGACCATGACGATCTCAAGCAAAATAAATCGGGGCAATGCTCACGTGTTTGGTGTTGCACCAGGCGTTCATGTAGGCGGGCACGGCGACGCCGCTGAGGCGGCACTGGCTGGGCAGCATGGTCTTCAGGTCCCAGTCGCCGTAGGTGACGAACAGCGCGCGCGTGCCGGCCGGCACGTGGGCGGCGTGCCACTGCTCGAAGGCCGCCAGCACGGCCGGGAACGTCTCCGACTCGTCCACTGTTTCCTGGTGATGGGGGAATAAACTCGTTTGGGTGAATCGTTTGGGAACATTCCAATCAGCCACCTTATCTTTCGGTTATGAATGGTGGGACATTAGCAATCTAGATGTCGGGTTTGATAAAAAGAGATAATTAATCGATGTTAGGCTAAATTATTTATTTAATTAAACATTACCCTAACATCGGTGGAAATTAGGGAAGTAAACATCGTAATAAATTATCATTATTTGGAACATACGGTGGAAACAAACATTAATCCAAATAAAAAATGACACCTTCCAATCAGAACCAATAATGAAGAAAGGATATATGGCACATACGGAAAGTTCATAGCACATAGGACCTTGCTCGCACTTCGCAGTCGCTCGCACCAGTGCACACCTGTGTGATGCCGGTCAGCTCTGTGCAGAAGGACGTCAGCGTCGGATGGTGGACCGGTCGGACGTAGCGGTGGAACTCGGACTCAATCTTGAATGTGGCCGCGTTCACCTTCAGGCACGGGAACTCGATCACCTCCTGAAACGGCGACAGGGGAGAGCATGGCTGAGGATAACAGTTCAGTAGTTTATCCGGGGCTTGTAGAATATCGTTCATGCATCGACCCTTGACTAAAGCTCATTTAACTTATGTTCCGCCGTTGGTCATTGATCGGTCGTAAAAAAAAAACGTTCATGCCAAAAGAAGTATCTAATATTCACCTTTTGGCATTCATATTTCATGAAAGTCTGCGAAGGATAACTGAGCAGCGTTGCAAGACCGAACGGTCAGACATCACTGTATCTACGGAAGAATGAACAATTAAAATATACTCCATACCTGAGGATCAATTCGCGGAGACGGCTGACAGGTCGCCTCGAAGTCCAGCACCAGGAAAAAGTCGTAGTTCTGCTTCGCTATCGGCTTGTCCATTGTAGCTGGGAACACGCTACTTCGGGGATGTACGAGCCGTTTACGACTTGCCTTGGCCGTCGTTGTTATAAGCCTGGCGAACTGAAAAACCAACGGCTGTACACTCATTGTAGATGTCGCTCGCCCGCAATCTTGATCCAAAGCGCTTAGTATTCTGTGTTTATTTATTATACCTACCTACTGCAGCGGCTCTATTTGTTCGAACAGCCAGAAAAACACACACAAACCGACAAACGGAAGTCAAATCGACTCTATCAGACGGGGATTTTGCCTGTGACACGGTCGCTGAAACTATTTATATGCTCACCCAATACCTTCATAGATCCTCACTCGTTGAAACCAACAATAGAATAAACATGATTTGACTTTTAAAGGCCAGTATGAAAATTTGACCTCAACCCAACAACGTCATCATTAATCAAATTGGAACAATGACATATGGCATACCACTCAATTCATACAGTAGCTAAACATATTCCAGGAAGAGATGTTTTAATCACCCTGGCATGAAAGAAGGCATTTTATATGATAGAGATTATACCATGATTAAAAAAATACAGACTACAGCAGTTGCTCAAAGAAGGAGGCATTTGTACTTTTTCCCAACCCACATTGTGGATAACAAAGTGTGTATGGTGAAGTAATAAATCTGAAAAGACCCCAGGGCCCAGGCACAAATATGAAAACATGAAAAAATGACTGTTACCCTGATACAACATCAAAAATTATATTCCCATGAAATAAAATGTGGGATTGAATTAATCACAAACCCCGCGTTCGATGTCTCTCGGACGGCGAAGATTCTACGCCGTCCGGCCAATCACGTTCTATTACCGCAGCCGAGCCCCCGCTGACCTTGGACGGGATTGGCCGGACGACGTAGAATCTTCGCCGTCCGAGAGACATCGAACGCGGGGAAAGTCTTATGAAGAGGTAACTAGGTTACCAAACTTGATGTGGTGATCAAATATTAGGTGGACTGGGACCAATTCCCTATAAAAGATGTAAAATTGATTAGTTAAGCTATGACAAGAATTATCACACACACAATGACTTTCCCTATATAGAGGTACACATAATAACTGGACTATGGAGTGTGTGGAGACAAATTCTCCACCAATGCCAAAGTAAGGTTTATAGACAATAGAGCTACACTTTTAATGAAGTTAACTTGAATCACTAACATATTACTTGCTTGCCTAATAGGCTGAGATGTTTAAACAGTTCAGTTTTCAACCAAAACCTAGTAAAACTTTAAGTTCACCCTTCCAAAAATGTCCTAAGCTGTCCAAACATGTCCTAACCTTACTATCCATGCATGGAAGGTATACATATGTTACATTTATACAATGCCAAAAAGGGATTAACAATTTCTAATTGATTAAAAAATCATGTGATTTGCAAAGCAAACATGTCTTTGCTGACAGGCATGCAATCATCAGTGTTCAATGAAATTGTAAATTCCATACCCGTGGAATCATTGATTAGGTGCAGCTTCTCAACAAAACTTGAAATGCTGTTCAGTGCTCAAAATGAATGTCTGGTCTGTGTGTTGCTGAAATGAGAAATCTGTCTCGAAAAGGATGTCAGTACATTTATCATTGGTGAGAATCTATGCATAATGCAAATTAGGGTTTAGTCTTGAACCACAAGACACATTCAAATTTGGAAGGGCTACTTTAAACTTATTCCATTATTGATATCATTATTTAAACCTATACAATATATTGAAATGAACCTATTCAAGTATGCACCTAAATGTATTAGGTACTTACATAAATACATATCTTCAAGTATTTCAACTTATATTTGAAGTTAAAAAGCAGTGAGCAAAGACAGTCATCACTCATAGCTCATACTTTTCCCTTTTTTTTACATTAGTATTCTTATTTGCAGACTTGCTATTTCATTTTAGCCTATACCAGCTATCTACCTACGATCTGAGAAAGGCAGGTGCACAATGATTCCAAATATTTTAAATCCATTCTATCTTTTACAGTTGATATGACCTAAAATCACAATGTGAATCATTCAAATATGACAGAGATAAAGCAAATTGAAATGACACATTTGGGACGCCGGTGAAAACAGGGCGCCTGAGGGCATATTAGTCACGTGACATTTAGAACTCCTCCCCCTTCTTGGGCCTTCTTCATGCCAAACGTCACGTGTAAATTTCACGAACCTTGATCAAATCGCCCCAGGCGCCCTGTTTTCACCGTCGTCGCACATTTGCCTACCATCAGAGACAGAACTGACCCTGCCAGCTGCCTGCACAAGTGACAAGGATTACCCAACATTCAGATTACCCACCAGACCCAAGATTCACTCTAATGCATGCCATGCATGAATGAATAAATGAATGAATGAATGCATGAATGAATAAATGAATGAATGCATGAATGAATGAATGAATAAGCAAATCAATGAATGCTTGAATAAACAAGTGCATGAATAAATGAATGAATAAACAAATGAATGTACTTGTACTGTACGAATCTTGGATCCCCATCCAATCCATGCATCAGTTCACGAAGGTCAAAAGTAAAATGATGTTGATTGGTATAAGTATATATTATACTAGTACCAAAGCCCTCACCGATCACCTACACCGACGAATTCAAGGCCATATCTATCCCATCTATAGACGCTATAGACGAATTTGCATTTTTGCTCTTTGACGCAGTTGCGTCACAATTGCCACATATTATGGATAAAAAGTTGGGAAAAATCTTGTCAAAAAGTAGAGGAATCTATTAAAAGTAATATGTTTTGGACGCCATTTAATTGCGTCCCAGAAAAGCTATTTCTGGCACCTAAAAGCTGACTCGCCCCAAAACTGGTCCTAAGCACCTATTTGGTGGATACCAGCATCAATAATGGAAAATGACCTTAATTAGCTGTTTCTGGCACCTATTCATCGGTACGCCTTACTCTTTTTTCTGAATCTGGCACCTAAATGCTGAGCGTAGCACCAATCTAGTAGAAAATGAACTACTGGCTGGTAGAATCATGTTGTTCTGGTATAATGACCCCTAGAGTCTAGCCTAAAGATTGCCAGTGCAGCTACACTCTAAGACAGCCCCGTAGTGATCTCAGCATTGTATATGACGTTTAAGTAAGCAAATAATATTGATTTGTTTGAAAAAAACAATGTCATTTAAATATTTAAAAGTATTTATTTGTAATGCTTAAAGGGAAACATTTTTGTGAGTAATTGTCTCGATTTTGACCATTAAAACGGGTATTGTATTTTTTGACGTCATCAAATAGCTCCAAAAAAGAAATGTAATGATTTCATTCCGTTCAAGGCCGCTGAAGAAACGCGGGATCTTGCGTGGGACGTTTGCCGCGCAGAGTTGTGCCGTGGTTGTCCCTTTTTCATCCGTTTCTTACTTATGTCTTATGTGTGCATGAAGCTTTGATTTTGTTTTTGGTTATTGTGTGGCCGGTCAGTCAAACGCCCCTGTAGAAACCGGATGCTGAGTTTGATCGAGATGGAGTCAGACGATGATTGCAGAAAGCTAATAATATTGAAAAGAGGGCCGGTTGCGTGGCATGTCTGTTCAGAGTTGACATTTTGCTTTACTCCAGTTTATGACCTGAGAGCCTGGCTGGAAGTGACGGATCAAAACTTTTCACGTTAAAATGGCTGAGGGTGCAGTAATCTCTTTCTCTAGTCTCTACATAGCGGGCTGGTATAGGAGCGTCTTGCTATGCTGCACCATAGCTGGCTAGTGATTCTCTTTTGGCTAGAAATGGCATTAATCATTATCTCCACTGGCGAAAATGGCACTTGACATCACCGAATGCAACATTCATGTTGTTAGGATACATAAAATCAGGAAGATTACGCGAATTAGGTAGGCAAACGTGGAATAAAATAGGTGCTGGATGTTTTGGTTTTGGTGCTGAATCAGCAAACAGCAAAAACGGAGTTCAACTAGACGATCTGGCAACTTAAGGCTGTGTGGAAGCAATTAGGTGCCAGATTCAGATATTAGGGTCGAATAAGCATTTTGGGGCTGATCAGCAATTAGATGCCAGAAACAGCTTTTTAGGGACCAGAAACAAATATTCCCCATATGTTTTTGTCTAGAAACACTGGTTAAGGTGGTCGATATTGATTTTTAACATAAAACTAATGGATCGGACGTGCATATTTTGCTAAAAGTATGAGCTAGGTCTGCTAGGAGGAAAAATATCATAGGGATAAAAGACGCGTTTACATAGGGTTTGTTGCAAGCTTATATCTCCGTCCGTGATGTTGCAAAATATGCCAATGGTGCTGAACAATTTACAAAATGATCCCCTCTAAATATTTGAAGACCACTGCATCGAAATTATCGCCAAATTAACGAGCTAGAGCCTCGTCAAATATGCTATGTAAACCGGGTTAAATTATCCCATTACTAGTGTAAGGGAAAATGGTGAAGAAATGCCTTTACAATTGTCATGAAAATGCTACCATATCCATTTGTTTACACGTTGCTGGCTTGAGGGCAGGGGGTTGTGGGGCAGGGGCGGCGCAAGCAAGGCGCAAGGCAAGAAGCATTTTATTTCAGCAAATTTATCTTATTTGATTTCGTGACCACGGCCGGCCGGCTCATACTAAGAAATTTCCATTATTCAAGTAAGACTTCGCTCGCTCCGCAGCTACTAACATTTGCGGTGAGTTGATACCAACATGGAAAGATCATCTTTTTTTGCATAAAACATTACATGATAAATAAAGCTCCATTCATACTCATAGATATGGAGCTCTGGCTGTATCATGATTTTGAAGAAAAAATGGATCTGCATGGCTGCATTGGTTCATCAGGCTCAGACACCCATCAAGTCAAAGGAGAGCTTTTTGCGTACAAATACAGACCGAGCAAGAGCTTGGCCTGTCAGACCACAAAATCACCTTCAATAACTTCACCAGGCTAATTTGATGCATATGTTAAATGTTAAATGTACATTTGGTGGATGTTGATATGATCAGCTGGTCTCTGACTCTCTGTTTGACCCTCCCTTGCCAGCAGTTCGAGCTGAATTGACTGGTATTAGTATATATTAGGTCCGAGTGGACAATTGTGACGCAGTTGATACAAATATGTAACAGCAAAAAATTTAGGTTTTAGGTTAGGTTAGGTTGTAGGTTTGTAGGTTTTAGGCAAGGTTTTAGGTTTCAGGTTGGTAGGTTGGTAGGTTTGTAGGTTAGGTTAGGTTAGGTATAGGTTGTAGGTTGTAGGTAAATAGGTAAGGTTAGGTCAGGTTTGATTATGTTTTTTCTTTTATTTCCAGGACATATAAGTATCATTTTTGGATTCAGGATGTCAAATAATGTAAGAATATGAAAACTTTATCTTTTTACAGTCACTCGGACTCAATGTATACTTTTATAAATTGACTTGTCATCCTCAAGAAAATTAAAGTGTGCATTTTTAAACCAATAGTGATAAGTTTTTAAGTGAATTGTGTGTCCTTGTGTTTTCTAGACTGTCATGTCAATGCGTTGACCAGGTCACGGCCCCAAGTCAGACAGCCTGGGAGATGTCCCTGCGTCGGATGATCGCGGCCGTCCGGGGCCGGCGCAGCCTCTGGACGCTGCTGCGGCTGCTAGTCATTGGATGTGTCACCGCTGCTCTTCTTGTCGCCATCCGGAGGGCCGCACAACATAAGAGATTGAAAGACATTCTCCGGCTGCAAAATTCGCCGTTTCAGGAGGTGGGTAACTGTCACATTTTTAGAGGTGTGCCGTGCTATAATTTTTTTGTTTGACGTTGTTTGTATGTGACAGGCATGCTGTTGGTTTTGGTCCTATTCTGTAGTATTCAGTCGTTCCGTTATATATCAGCATATTTTAGTGTCATCTGTGATTACCCTGACGCCCACTCGTTTCCAGAATGGCTACTGGGAGCGGTTCACACCGGAGGAGATCCGGCAAATGAAACGGATCGACTGGCACGACCAGGAGCAAATCAAACGAGACGCCGAGAGACAGGGTAAGCCGCCTCTCATAACATCCATTGCAGGGCGCCGCCCCGTTATCAGTCGGTATTTGTCTCCCGTCTGGTCCTCACACGATGTAGGATCAGCCTGTTATCGCGGTGCTATCGTGTTTGGCGGAGAGTCACGGCACACATGGCTCTCCAGTCTGTGTGCGTGTGCGTTAGTTTGCCAGCCGGCCGGGCCTGTGGGTGTGGCCGCGGCGTGCCGGTGGGTGATGACACGATAGTGCCATCGGCTTCCGTCGCAATGCGGTACCGCCCCGAAATGAATAGGCGTTTGCAGCCGGATGACGTCAAGCTTACGTCCTATAATAAGGCGTGATAATTAATAAACGTGATGATGATGATAATTGTGGTCGTCATTTCGATCACCGTTTTTTTTTCTACAGAATTTCTGGTCTGTGCCGGTGAAATTAGGTGAAATGTAATAATGTTTCATACATTGTATCACCACATGTATGTTTATCATCGGAGTCACTGGTAGCTATGCGGACCGACGCTGCAGCTGTATAAGTGTATAGTGTCGTTATAAACCACTTCCGTCGCCAGGTCCCGGTGAGCGGGGTCAGAGTTTTGCACTGCCACCTGATTTAGAAGCGCAGAAGGATAAACTGTACAAGGTGAACGGGTTCAACGCGCTTGCCAGCGACCAGATCAGCCTGAACCGATCTCTCTCAGACATCCGGCACCCAAAGTACGTACAGATCAGGGGTACAGAGAGCCTTGTTGCCGACGCGACCTGGCACTGTGGTGTTCTGTTTGGGCTGGGATGTTTCAGCGGGAAGAGCTACGCGTCACATAGCGGAAAGTGCTGTTGAGCGTTGAAGACGGTTGCTTGCTGTGTAACGAGACTGAGGACATTGAGGACATAACGGGACGGAGGACACTGAGAACGCCAACCGCTGATCGCTGGCCGTCGATCACCAGCTACTGACCACTGACTGTCCCTTTTCTCCACCCCGCCCCAGGTGCGGTTCGCGCCTGTACATCAGCGAGCTGCCCACGGTCAGTGTGATCGTGCCCTTCCACAACGAGCACCTCTCCACGCTGCTGCGCACGGCGGCCAGTCTGATCAACCGCGCGCCGCGACACCTGCTCAGGGAGGTGCTGCTCGTAGACGACGCCAGCACCAAGGGTGAGACGAGTCAGCGCTGCGCCTAAATAATAGTGTGTGCGTGTAAATTGACGGCAAACTTTGAGAATTATACTGGTTTCGTATCAACAGTCCGATCATAGCCATACAGAGGTTTATGGTCCTACAGAGGTCTATGGTTCGACGATTTCAGAATGTTTAAAAAAGACGTTTTACTTGGACTCCATGGTTGTCGTCCTTCCGCGCGTTATCGACTTTGGCTTCATGCTTCAACTGATTTTGCACCCCGCTGTCAGAGCACGCCAAGGCGCCGTACCTGGACGACCTGGTGGAGCGAATGTTCCACGGCGTGGTGCGTGTGATCCACCTGCCGCGCCGCTCGGGTCTCATCACGGCCCGGCTGGCCGGCGCGCGACGGGCCACCTCGGACGTGCTCATCTTCATCGACTCGCACTGCGAGGCGGCTGTCAACTACCTGCCGCCGCTACTCGGTCAGTAGGGTGGGTGAGGGACGGGGGAGGGGCGGGGTGTTAGAGGTATATCGGGGGATGCCCGTTGGGATTCTGGTGGATGAGATGAGGCCAGGGCTCTTCCATTTTTTTTTTGCTAAATTATATATTTTACGTTATGATAAGCCTAAAGAGAAGCTTTAATCGGCATTTTTCGCATATTTTCGCATCGCATATCTTCAAGAACACACTTATAACAAATAAAAAACGCACATCAAGTGAGTGTGCCTCTTCAGAAGTGGTCTTCCTTTTCCAATGTTTATGGCTTAGGTACTGACGTCCTTTGGAGGTCATTGGAAAGATAGCTTAGATTGCCGTATGCTTAAGTTTGAACCGTACCACTGAAAAATGTAAGGGCTGCACCAGAGAAAACTGACCGTTGCATAGCGTGCTTGCTACGCATGATTCACAATGCGTCACCTATTCCATTATGCAAATTGAATCGCTAATCGCCTTTATAATTCCCTGTTATCAACTTTTGGAAACGTGACATAAAGCGAGACGCCAGCGATGACTTTACCCTGTAACGGTGTGTTCGCTGTCCTTTCAGAACCGATCGCTTTCGACAAGCGCACGTGCGTGTGTCCGTTTATCGACGTGATCGACTACGAGAACTTCCAATACCGTGCTCAGGACGAGGGCGCGCGCGGCGCCTTCGACTGGGAGTTCTTCTATAAGCGACTGGACCTGCTGCCCAGCGACAAGGCCAACATGCCCGAGCCGTTTGCGTGAGTGGCTGTCCGTGCCGGGACTGTGGGACTGATAGATAAGGCCAGTATGATGGAAGTATAAAGTTTTCAACTCCAGCTCGTTTGGGATTCCACGGTGCGTTTACTCCACACTGTAAGGCAGACCTGGAGTACACCCAGAGTACATGCAAGATGTATTGGAAGTTTATTGCCATAATGTCGGGAATCCTCACCTGGAAGGACGTAAACTAACTAGCAGAGACTTTTACGTCTGCGACTTTGAAGATGGCAGAATTGTATTATTCTGGGATGATCCAGGGTAGCGTGCAGTCATACGCCACTGCCCGTTTTGTCTCCTTCGGCCATATACCGACCGGGGTCACGGTACTGCGTTATCCGCCCGTACCGAAGCAACTGATAATACACGGAAGCCACCAGACGCTGTGGCGAACAGCCGGTCACCGGAAACCGCTACTGGCGGCCGCTGTTCATCGCTAACCGGTCTGCGGCCATCCGAACACGCTGCGTCCAATGTCGCCCCACCGCATTACAGACCGCTCTCTGCAGTTTGCACCGACGACGGGGCAGGGTATGGGGAGGTAGCGTCACCAACCATGCCCTAACACCCAGCGCAGCCAGTATAAGGTCGAAACCCGTCTTTCCGTCGCCGCTCGAAGTTCGGATGTGTTAACTCGGACGGTCGGAGATGCTCGCGGCGGCGGTAGTCGTCAGTACGATCGCCGACTGGTCGGGCCGTACGAGCGAGTCTCGGTGGCGGAGGACGGAATGGACGGAGCGGCTCGGCCGGACCGGTTCCGTAGGGTCAGTGATCCGGGCCGGTCCTCAGGACACCGGCCCTTGGTCAGGCCTCACTCCCCGAGATGAGAACCAAGCGTCGGTAACAAATGTTCTGAGCTGAATGATCTTATGATCGGAGTTATGTGCGCCCTGTGCGAAACGTCCGCCTGTACTCGTCACTGGATGGCATCGCGATGGCCCCATAATATCTCTTTCTCAGTTTTTTTTTTTGTTTGTTAAAGATTAACTTAGCTAGAATGTTTTGAATAGACAGTTTTATTACCTGTGGTGCTAAGTGCCCATAGTAACTAGTCCACTTAGATTCCCATGAACAAACTAATTTCGTTTTCGGTTTAGTGTTTTCTTATCACCATACCCTCCTGCCCACTCCGTGCACTATGGTGCTGTTATATCCGCTGTGCCGCATGACCGTGCTGTACTGCGGTGCAGTATACCTGCCAGTTGTCCACTCGATGCCTGCGTTAGATCGCACGATGCTACACTGGGGCATTCCACGATAGATCGTACCACTTTTTTCCAATATGACACCCTCATCTCTCGGATTTTAACGATAATTGGTCTAAGGGGTAATCAGGGGCTCTGAATCCTCCTGTAACAATTTCAGGCTTATCAGATGAGTGGTTTTTGAGTTATAGTGTATAACATGTTTTGGATCTTGCGTTGCAGCCCCAAGTTTGGCGGGCTGTAACTCTAAGACGGATAATTCAAATGCCAAATGCTATACTGCATTGAACTTGCATTGAAACAAAGAATTATATGCATTTTTAAAATTTTGAAATATATACTATTTTTGATATATAACACCTCGAGTTTCCTTTCATTTGCATTTTTATGCCTTTGGGACCAAATTTTTTTGAATTTTTATTTACTTAAAATCATTTTTGGGTCATTTTTAAGTAGTATGCAAAAAATTAGGAAGGTGTTCTTTCTATAAATGTACTTTTTTGCGTCACCGTAATGGTCTCGAATTGTGATTTCGGAAGAGAGCCTATTAATGGTGTGGTAAAGCTGCCTAGTGACATCACTGGTTACTGAAAGCTCAATTGAAGTCATTTTTGCCTCACTTTTGCATTGTTGACCTTGAGTGACGTCATTCGTACGTCACTAGGGGTCATAAGAGTTTTTCGTCAATAGCTCTCGATCAAATTGAGCTAGAGAGACGGGAAAGCTACCAATGGACTCGGGAAGACCTTGCGAATCGAATGATGTGCGATATGATCTCATTCACCCAGCTTCGTGGCCTGACCCGACTGTTAACCATCTCTGTAGCGGCGCTGTTTGTCTAGCGCCGTGCTGGTTGGCTTTGCCGCGGACTCGGGCGGTCACGTGATGCCCGGGGGCTGGCTGCCGGCTGGGCCGCCCGGTCGGGGAGCGGAGCCAAATACACGGCAGTGTGCTGACCCGAGGTAAGCGACTTAAGCTGACCTCACCGAAACAAACAGTATACCATTCGACGCGCCGGAGCTAGGCAAACACAAAGATGCTAAAATCGCGGCTCTGCGACCATTTGTTGCGAAGTTATCTATCAAAAACCGGACCCGTAATTTGGGTCACTTGAAATGACCTCAGGGGTCACCAATGAACCCGAGACCTTAAAATGTGGTATCATTCGATGCATCTTGTAACGGCGCACATGCTCGTTTTTTCCGCAAGGTTCTAGCTCCATTAGAGGCGAAACGGCGAGCTGGGGTCGTACCGACCCTCCGGAAACCCATTTTGTATACATTTAAATGAGGAACTTATAGAAAGAACACCTTTCTAATTTTTTGCACGTCGATTTTAAAGGACCTGAGGTTTATTTTGAAGAAATAAAAATGGAAAAAATTTTGGTCCCAAGGGCCATTATAGACAATTTAAAAAAATACTACGACTTTTTTCAATATGTTAAGCTTTTCTTTCCAATTTTAAAAATACTGTATTAATCTTTGATTCATCGTTAGTTCAAAGCTGTTTACCGTTTGTTGCTTGCTTAGCTCGTTTTTGAGTTATAGCTCATCAAACTCACCCTTACAATCTGAAGTTTAGAAAATATTATGCAATGTAACTCAAAAAGTTTTCATCTGAGAAGTCTGATATTTTGGTAGGTGTTTTTAGAGCCTATGATTACCCCTTGTACCAATTTTCATTCAAATCTGAGAGATGAGGGTGACGGGCCTGGTACGATCTATCGTGGAATGCCCCCACTACTACATGCCAGTGGCGCGGGAACCGGGGGGGGGGGGGGCTAGGGGGGGCTGAGCCCCTCCAACTTTTCGGCTGGGGGGGCTCGTAATGTATTTGAGCCCCCCCCCCCCCCAGCTGGAGGAATCAAAATCGGAAATCTACCAACACAATTTCATAGATTCATACATAGGCGCGGGAACCGGGGGAGAGGGCAGTGGGGGAAGCTTGCCCTCACAACTCTGGGGCCGTGGGGGCGGTGCCTCACAACTTTTCATGAGGCCAGGAACAGTTGGGGCAGCTTGTCCTCCCCAAATTAGGGGTTGTGAGTCACAAAGGAAGAAAGCATGTGAGTGAAAAATCTACCCATTTTACTGACTCGGCAACTCATTTGGCAGCTTAAAACCTTCATTCCAGGTTGCCAAAACGGTAGTTTCTTCACTCAGCTGAGACGGAATATCTCACTTTTTTGCAAATATTTTTTTCTTTTTTTTTTTCGTTGAAAAGGCCAAGGTCTGAAAAATAAGTGGCCTAAAACCGATGAGAAAACTAGATTTGGGGGTATCCTAGGCTGATCTCTATGATGGTTCAGCCCCCCAGTCTGGAAGAAGTTCCCGCGCCACTGCTACATGCATCTGATGAGCCTGCCCGGTGCTGTGTGTCGAGTGTCATACAGTGTCAGTCGATCGGGGGCTCTGGCAATTGGCACCCTCTGAACGACGCTGTCGGGATGTGAAACCCGTGGGGAAGCTTGGAATTAAAACCGTGTGTCAGCTGCCGAAATATGTAATGACATTCTGAAACTGATGATCACATGCGCACTTGCTAAAATGTGAACGTCCGATCATTCTCATTGACTTCCTGGAAAGTTCAAGGGTCACCAGCTGAGCCATACGAAGTATGCATGACCGGTTAATAGTATCTACTACTGCGAGTTGTAAGGTTTGCTGCCGATCTGCTTGCCACTCGTCACTGACAACTTACGCTGACACTCGTGTTTCTCAGGTCACCGGTTACTACTTCCGCTGATGCCCTGCGGTGTTTCCTCAGGTCACGACTTATGCGACACTCGTATTTCCTCAGGTCGCCGGTGATGGCCGGGGGCCTGTTCGCCATCTCCCGGGACTTTTTCTGGGAGCTGGGCGGATACGACCCCGAACTGGATATCTGGGGCGGGGAGCAGTACGAACTATCATTCAAGGTCAGTAGAGGGCCAGACTGGTTTATTGTGGATCTCCCGGTGTGGTTTTCTTCGAAATCGTTGCTGGTCGTCTGTCTGTCTTCGTTCAGCGGTGTTGTTCGGCAGTGGTTTGTTGTTTTCCCACTCTACAACGGTTAACCTGTTTTTGTCATGCTTTCCGAATGATCAGTTGAATCAGTGTTTGTTGGATTGTTTTCTGCGTGGCTGATGTATTTCGTTGCATTTTGACAATCGTTTCACAGCAAGAACACTCGCTTGTTTATTACTCCTCTAGTTCGTATAATTAGGTTGTTTTCGTTCGCTTTCTCCACTAGCTGCCGTGCATATGCAGTCTGAATAATGGATTGCCCCTGTCTTTCAGATCTGGATGTGCGGAGGTCAGATGGTCGACGCACCATGCTCGAGGATTGGGCACATCTATAGGAAATTCGCTCCCTTCCCCAACCCTAGGAAAGACGACTTTGTTGCCAAGGTACGGCTTTGGGAAATGTCTTCTTTTGTGATGCAACTTTGCAACTTTGCTGACGGAACTTTTGTGAAAGAAGTTACCATTAAATTCATGCATCTTTTGCCACATTTTGCAGGTAATTTCATCGACAGTTATGGCTCACCATTACATGATTAAGATCTGCAACTTTGCTTGTTGAATTAGCTGATTGCGTATTGGTGTGGGGGGATTTCGGTCGTTTCTAAAACGAAGCATTCATCTATGATAATATGATTGCTCTTTTTTTTGCTATAATGCGTAATGCCCACGTAATCGATGTGCGAAGTATTTTGTACGCATCTCATACAATGTGTAGCTTACCTCTCCCCACCTCCGACAGAACTACCGTTGCGTGGCCGAGGTTTGGATGGATCTACCTCACATCCCCTCCTCTCCCACGACAGAATTACCGTCGCGTGGCCGAGGTCTGGATGGACGAGTACGCTCAGCACCTGTACCGGCGCCGGCCCCACTACAAAAAGGTAGACCCGGGCGACCTGGCACCGCAGCGGGCCATCCGAGAGCGGCTCCACTGCAAGAGCTTCAAGTGGTTCATGGAGACGGTGGCGTTCGATCTAGTGAAGAAGTATCCTCCCGTTGAGCCGGACGACTACGCCCACGGCGAGGTAGGTTACAGAGCCGGGCTCCTGTAATGAGCTGCGTTGACGGCCTGATGAGTGTTTACGGTACGGTCGGAGCCCGGGCTGCCGGTCGATTAGAGTACACGGGGCGCGGAGCCGTGTTTGCCGGTGGCAGGGTACACGGGTCGATATGCCGTGTTACACGGAGTCCCGGTGACCGGCCGCACCCCACGACCCCTCGCTGCGGCACGGCTCAGACCCCAGACGGAACGGGGACACGTCCAGCCGCTCATTTACATGCAACTCCTCAAACAGGCGCCATTGTTAACGGGCTACCGACACGATCAATCGCGCCCGTGTCAGGCTCAATTGAGCGGAATCGGATCTGAAGCCATTCCCAGTGCATTTCCTAGTGCAGCCAATAGTCGTTACCAATCCCCCGGTACCAGTGCGGGGGTGGCTGGTGCCCTACCCTCCTCGCCATGCCTCGGACCGGGTCCCCTGAGACTCGACTCTCGGTAATAGGATTTCCGTGCCGGAGCCTGTGACCCTCCGTCCCGCGCCGCTTTCAGTCACCCCTCTACCCTCCGCCACTACTCTCTCTCTCTCTCTCTCTCTCTCTCTCTCTCTCTCTCTCTCTCTCTCTCTCTCTCTCTCTCTCTCTCTCTCTCTCTCTCTCTCTCTCTCTCTCTCTCTCTCTCTCTCTCTCTCTCTCTCTCTCTCTCTCTCTCTCTCTCTCTCTCTCTCTCTCCTCTCTCTCTCTCTCTCTCTCTCTCTCTCTCTCTCTCTCTCTCTCTCTCTCTCTCTCTCTCTCTCTCTCTCTCTCTCTCTCTCTCTCTCTCTCTCTCTCTCTCTCCCTCCCCCACTCACTCACCCCCTCTCTCCCCAGATCCGCAGCGTGGCCGACCCCACGCTCTGCGTGGACACGCGCTTCAAGCCGCACTCGGAGCGTTTCGGCCTGGAGAAGTGTATGAAGGACGAGCCCGGTCTGGGCGGCGAGCAGACGTTCCACCTGTCGTGGAGGAAGGACATCAGGGCCGGCCAGCGCGCCATGTGCTGGGACGTGCCCGGTGGCGATCAGCAGGCGCCCGTGTTTGTCTGGGACTGCCACGGACAGATGGGCAACCAGTACTGGCTCTACGACACGGTGAGGAACGGGAGGGTAGTGGGGGACAGATGGGCAACCACGATACGGTGAGGAACGGGAGGGTAGTGGGGGGAGGACAGATGGGCAACCAGTACTGGCTCTACGACACGGTGTGGAACGGGAGGGTAGTGAGGGGCCGGGGGGACAGATGGACAACCAGTACTGACTATGACACGGTGAGGGAGACGGAAGGGTAATGGGGGGGGGGGGGGGGACAGATGAGCAACCAGTACTGGCTCTATGACACGATGAGAAAAACGGGAGGGAAGTGTTATTGATAAGTGTGGACAAGCTATGGGGCGGCCCAAAGTCATGATCGGTCACTGCTCAGGCTGGGGCTACGGGTCGCCGTAGTTGATGGATAAGCCGAGAGGGTAATGCTGATTTTCGAACACTGCTGGGTCCCTGTCACCTCCCCAGTGTCACCACTGTTTGCCCTGTGACCCCGTTTGACCTCTGCCCCTCCGTTCTCCCGCAGAAGCACCAGTGGATAGTGCACGCGGGCAGCCGCCGGTGTCTGGACGGCAGCGTGGCCCAGCGTGAGGTCTACGTTAGTCACTGCGACACCAAGTCAGTCACTCAGCGCTGGGCGTGGGAGCACTTCAACGCCACTGAGCTGGCCAAACTGCGCTACTAGCGCGGCCAGAGGCGTGAACTAGGGACGGGCTGGGTAGGGAATGGAATAAGGATGGGATGGGTATTATCATAGGTGGGACCATTGCCAGGGTTCGACTTCCAACTCAGTTTAAGGTGATAAAACTGCCTGCAAGATGCTGGCCCGCAGCTTTGCTGCAGGTTTTCGGGCCCATCCGGTCCAAGGTACACAATCAGAGGAACATAAGCTACAAATGAGACATTTCCGGGGCATTACGTGCCTGCCACGCACGCGCACATCATGTACGCGGCGGTGATTGGTAGGGTAGGATATACCACACTGTTCTAGTGGCTGACTGATATGGCGTTAGTCCCGTCTTTCCACGCCATCGTAATTGGTGGGCTTGATACGGCATATGCAGCGTCATACATCCAGGCCAATAGCCGCACTTAAAATCCGTTGCGGTCAGTATCATGGGCTCAGAACAGAGCCAGAGACACTGGATGATTGATTAACTCGAAACCGAACCGAACATTCCGATAAACGGTTTTATCATTACCCGAACGCCAGTGAGCTCAGTGCCTTAGTCGTTATTGCATAGTGGGTGTGTTTGTATTATTTTATGATCGTTTTCTTTTGGAAAACCTACTTTGAGATGTAATTGTTGTTTATTTGTACCTTTGCTTAACGGGTTTCTATCTTCTTTTGCTTATGGTTATTGTTTCTTGTTCGACCATTGGACGGCTGTCGCTTGCTTCATTCTTTTGTTTCACATTGTAAATGACAGTTCAAATGTTCGTGTCTTGTGGTTCGACTCTCGAGACTGATAGTTGAGACGTTAGTTGAATGCGGTTCTCCGAAATCGATGGGTGCTGATGTCCGTCCAGAGGCGAATTGTTTGTGGCCTTAACTCCCTGCAAAATGTGACACCGACGGCTCCTTAGTCACCGTACTCCTCATGATATGGACGTTCGGGGAGAACTGTGTCGTTAGTCGGCAGTGTGATTCAGAGGAATGCAAGTTGCAGAGTGGAACCAACTACCTTGCTGGGTTGTTCGCTGCTTTCAGGGGCTTGTCTCGTCTCAAGTTGGTACATGTGCGCTGTGAGATTCGGCATTATGGAGTGATTATGAGTCTTGGTATATTGTCTTGCTTTTGTTAAGGATTGGTAAGGAATCCGTTATTTTGGAGCTGTTGTTTCTGTTAATGTTACACATTTGAAATTTTATATATGCTTACTTTATGTAATCGATTAAATATGTTCAATTTATGTTAAATCGCGACTGCATGCGGTTTTCGACCTGCAAATCGATGTTGCTGATCAGTTAGCCGCTCAATCGCTTGAGCGAGCATGCATTCATGATTACGCAACTCTGATTCGCTTTCCGACCTTTCGACTCGTTTACTGTAGTTGTAAACGCTGCGTGAAATTGCTGTATTCCGTGTGGATGTGGTAGCGGTACGGTTCCAGCGATACCAGCTTATGGGGAGCAGCTTTAGGGCGTACTCAGAACAGCTAGGGCACAAACGGGAACGCATAGAGGAACTTGTCGGTTGTGTCGCACGCTGCTGTGTGGGAACCAATGAGTGTTTTCATGCCGTCCTGCTTTCTTGGCGGTGTACGGAGTGATGACTGATGAGCTCCGGTGATATTGTTCCATTGAGATGTGGTTTGCTCAAATCGATGTGTGTGATGCTGGCAGCGTGGACCGTGTGTGGAAAATTGAGATCAATATAGGTCCGTGTTGTTAGTTCTAATGGTGTAACTGGCGGGGCAGTGATTGTCTAAACGACGACATTTGGCAGGCGTCTCCTGAAACGTACCTACAGAAAAATATGGACTTTGTTGTGACTAAATACTATCCACAAGTCATCAGTTGGGTGTTAGGTATTTAACAACCAGACCACCTCATCTTAAGCCATCGCATCGTAACACTCGTCTCATAGATCTCGTATTTATCGTACAATATTCTGATCAAAACAACAACAAATTGGTCAAAAGGAGCCCAAGCGTCTAGCAGTAGATGTATGGATGGGCGGCGGCGGGCCGCGGCCTGGCCCCAAGAGCCCGGAGCGGCCGGCGACCCGGCAGCGCCGCCCACCGACAGGCGAGCTTAAAACTAAGTAAGTCACTGGTGCATAACTCGACAATGGAAGAGGTCGAACCGGGTATAACGCCGGCCTGGCCGACCGCTCGGCGGCGCCGAAATCGAGACGGCCAGGCCGCGTGAGGCGTAACTTATATTTATAAAATTCCCCAGTAACGTAACCTCCAGACACTGCATCCCGGGATACAACGAAAAAATAAAGTCGATGGAATATGTTGCACGGTCGGGTCGCGCCGGTTGCAGGTCGCACCGACACTCCAATACATTTGCGCTCCCACGGCAGGTCGGACGTGCCCTCCGCACTAACCCTTCTCTCCTCTGATCTGAGCAACAGGTGCCACCGGTACAGCGTTATCAGCCGGCAGGACTCGGACCAATTCACTTCACACATTCGGCGTCCGAATCAGCTGCGAACCTCGGACCGAAATCACACGTCATTCCCACCTCCGGCGCCGACGGCCGGTCCCACACACCACTCGTCTCACTGACTGCGGGATCACTCTCTCACTCTCTCCCGGTGTGGGCCCTGCCGGCGCCCTGTCCCACCGGCAGGCAGCAGCACAATCGCACATTCCCAACAGAGCCGTCTGACCACACGAGCGGCTCCTCTGCCGGGCCACGCCACCCTCTGCTTTTGCTGCAGTCCCGTGGAGGCGGCACGCACTCGCAGTTCGCTCACAACGCGGCACCACTGGCGGTGGTGGCTGGTTCTCGTGGCGCCACGGGCTACCACAGGTCACACGTGACGGGCTGGTAGCACTGGTCCACCGGTCCACACGGATTCACCCACGAGCCACGGGTCCCGTGCGCCACCGCTCACACGTGGCAGATTGCGGTCACGCGGCCGCACGTGGCGGCGCTGGATTGACATTTCGCGTACCCGTGGGCGGCGGCGGCAGCGTGCCAATGAGAAAAGGTCCATTTCATGCGACTAGATGCGGCGCGGCGGCGCGGGCCAGTTAGCTGGCGATCCGCGGTCGGAGCCGCAGCAGCTGCAGCGCCAGGTTGAGCAGGGAGGTGCAGAGGGCGCGCACGGAGCCCGAGCGGCTCACCAGCACCCGCCAGGCCAGCAGGAACAGCAGCAGCCGCAGCGAGTGGTGCAGGTAGTACATCCTGCGCGGATACGGGGAGGGGGCGTCAGTAACGGGACGCAAAGAAAGGGCAACTCGAGCGAACCGGCGGAATGCAGCGCTTTGATTTTACCGAAAACTGAAGCCAAGTTCTTGCTTACAGTTCAATGATTAGCAAACTTTGAATCATTCCACAGCATCGCATAACTGAGGTAGGGATGAATACAGCATAGGTAGCATGGATACAGTGAACCGACGGCGCGCTTACATGTTGAGACGGCGGCGGGCCCTGTCGGCCTTGTCCTCCTCCTTGAGGATGAACCGGCGCACGCCCAGGCAGTAGGTCGATATGTAGCTCTCCCAGTCCATGTCCTACCACGGAGAGAGAGAGACGGTTATCGATAGAAAAAAAACATATAGAAAACTTGTCAATTAGTGACGTCAGACGTGTTCAACCTGTCACATACCACTCACATACCGCGGTAACATGGTTGACAGTCAGCGATTTTCACACTCGTTTTCAACGACCTGTGACATGACGATGCGTTACATAGGCCATTACGTAAAGGGGCCCAGATGTCGGCCGGGTTATTTCGGCCGTGGCGAGCTCCTTTCACCCGTACTCTGGCGACTATCTGCACCGCTGTGACGCCCGTCACATTCACTCCTCTCTGACAACGGTGCGAGACAGGCTCGGCAGCTGGCGAACTTTGTGAAATTGGGCGGAACCGTTGTGATTTTTTAATGTTGTAAGTGTGATATAGGGTGACCGTCATATATCACGCAGTGATTAAGGCTGATCCTGACAAGAAGCAGTGCCCACAATATGTATGACTTACATCGAAAACGATCACTGCTACTAAAAACAACACCACGGTCTCGAAGAGCTCACCTTCAGCTCGAAGTGGAACTCCTTGCGGTCCTCCAGGGACATCTGGTCCAGCAGCGCCAGGCAGTTGTTGGACTTGAAGGTCCACTGGTGCGTGGTGAAGTAGGTGAGACACCGCATCGCGCGCAGCATCTTGCTGTGGATGCGGACCATCCTGTGGGAAGGCGGGTCCGTGTTAGAATCCCTGTCACGGTGACAGGCACCTCGGGATATCCCGACAGAGCTACCCAAGGCTGGGAACCTCACTGCCTCTATCCGACAAACATACCAGTCACAGACAGAGACAGCAACAGACACAAACACAAACACACCACCTCGACAAACCAGCTATAGACACAGACCGTCCAAACTCACTGAGTCGGAAACCGTCCACAGTTTTCATAGCACCTGATGTCGTTATCGGTCTTATCTTTACATTGCAAGGCCCCCCGCATACTAATTCAGGGTTGACCATTGTTATGCAAGATGCACAAGGCAAACGATGCAAATCCCATACAAGGTGCTGAGCTAGACAAAGCGAGTTCGTACAGTTAAGCCGAGGGAAGGTCATTCTCGGCTCTTAGCACTTGTAAATAACTCGACAATCAGCATAAGAGCGGTCTAAGTCAATGGTACCTGAACGAGACCCGGTACCAAGGACGGCTGCAAGACACTCCGCAGACACTGCGCCATGGCCCGCTAAACTAGCCCGGTCCCAGCGACCACACCGGTCTCCGGCAGCACCCACTTGGTTAATCTGGCCAACCATTTCGAAGATGATCATTCGGGCTCCATTAATGGGAAAACGGTTCGTCAGATGCTGTCCTCACAACTGTTTTGAATTTGGCCCGTCCCAGAGGGAACAATTTTATCAAACATTGAACCATCCTCATTTGTCCTGTTCAGTGCCTAATACTCACATTGGTTTTTTGCCCATGAGCATTATGACGGCGTCGATGGCGTAGGCCGGCAGGAAGTGGCAGACGGCCACCCAGAAGTTGTGCAGCATCGGCGACTTGGTGAAGCTGCCGCCCGGGTACCAGAAGACGTCGCTCAGCGGACTGCGGCGCAGCTCGTTGTGGCCATATTTCAACACCTGACGCCAGTAGATGGGACGGATGGAGCCGGACGCGCAGTTGTACACCAGCATCTCCTGTGGCCTGAGGGCAGAGAGACGGTCAGGTCAGCCAAAGGCAGACATCACCTGTGGCCTATGCCTACAGGAAAGGTCTGGTCAGATGGTCAAGTTGGGTCAATAATCCCTACTGGGTCAGCCGGTCAGGATATGCCAGGCTAGGTCAGACGACCAGGCAGTCGCTAATGCGGACACAAAAATCGTAGTGTGCTGGGATAATCAGAGGATCGATGTCCCGTCTGCGGCCTGCTGCGCCCCGTAATGCATACAAACGTCGTTATCGGAAAATTGCTCCGTCGCAGCCGGAGACGGCGCAGCCCTGCCCTGTCACCAGCCGTGACCGACGGAAGGCCGTCCCATTTCCTGGGACCGATCCTCCATCCATCGCTCTGAAGCCACACGCCGCGCCTGCCCTTCCACTGACGTCCGCCAGCCCAGGCCAGCCCACAGAGTCTAAAGCCCGGTTTCGACCGCACCCGTTCCAGTGAGCTGACTTCACACCGCGCTCAGCCACACCCAAAGATATATGTATAAACCGTCACAGCCATTATACATTATGGTGGTGCATTATGCAGGCTTGGATCCGCTCCGGGCGACTCGATGAAGCTCGCTCGCAGTTCGCCTCGGCTCGTTTCTTCTCGGCTAGTCTCAGTTCGACGAGCTGGCGAGGCGGGCCGTGAACGGAACGGGGAGTGCTTTGTTTTTACGTCAGCCATCCGCCCACTTCTCGGTTGACCACCGTGTCACCACTCAGCCGCACTATCAGACCACAAAACCTCCGGGCCACTCTGCGGATGTCTAGTCCAGCCCGCTCACCCCGTCGGCGACTATTTCGAGTGGTTCGATACAAATGACTGCCGTCGGCGCGGGCGGTTGTCTGCGACTGATCGGGCCGGGCCTGCCCTAACGTCCCCGCTCACGGGCGGGCTAGGAGCGAGGGTGTTTGTTGACCGGTGCAGACCGTCCCGCCCGGCAGGACGAAAACAGCCCACCAGCGGTGCAGACGCAGTTGTCTGTGCATACCTGCATTATTGAGTCGGCACTCCGTGTCCCGCGGTCGGTACCAGACAGAGTGCGGGCGGGTAGGTACGAGACAGAGTGCCGGGGGGGGTGCCATTCGTGCGGGGAGGAATCGTTGCCTATGCAAGACGAAAAGAGTACACTTATGAGGATGTATAAAATCCGTCAGACCTTCCCTTCTACGTACACCTATCTTTGGTGTCCACCTCGTGAGCAATAACGACCATATAATGCCTAATGGATAGTTTTTTCCTCCACTAAAAAACCCTCTCTGCGGCCGTCTGACCGGCGCTATCGGAGTCCACACAGGCACTCAACACTGTGTCAATATCCGGTCCTGTGGCGCCCAGTGCCCGGCGCGCGGTCCCACTGACCGCCCGCCGCGCCGACCGGCCGCCGATCAATTAGCCCCGGCGTGCCCACCCCTCCCTGAGGACGACAGCGGGAGCTGGCTTCCGGCCAGACTCGGCCAGCGACATCACCCAGATGAGACTGATGGAGGATGGGGTAAAGGAGGAGGGAGTAGAAAGGAAAAGAGTAGAGACTAGAGAGGGCAACGGTCCGTTTCGAAAAGAACAGAGGTGCCCCTTGGACGCCAGATTAGTGCAAGATAATGCGTTTTCTTGAGTGCTTTTAGGTGTGATGCTTTCGAGTTTCGAGCGCTATTAAATCCCACCGCAAAGAGAGCGCACCCCTTCCGCGTGGTCCCACGCACGCACTTACAAACGATGGCATTACGAGAAACGCAGGTGTTCAACGATTAAACACCTCCGCACTCGCCCAAATCGGATGAACCCCTGAAATTCCAGCCGCTCTCAGGATGGCTCAGCCTCAAACGCACACGGGCCACCCTTCCGCACCTCTCACGGACACCTGCTGAGCGCCGAGCAGCCCGAGCTGCCGGTACACGAGCCGCCAAGCCGGCTTACCATGCGCACAGCCGGGTCCGCGCGGAGTCCGCCCTCTGGCCACGCGCACAGCCGGGTTCCGCCCGGCTCAGAGCGCCAGTTTCCGGCCAGATCGGGAGGCCGGGGCGCCCAGGACAGAGCCACTGGGACCAGTTGGCAGCCGACATCGACCACAGAGGCGACCGGCGGCAGTGCCCGGAGACCTCGCGTGCCGCGGCGGGCCCTCGCAGACGCGGCAGACGGAGGACTCACATTGATCGAGACCTTCTCACGGCGATCGGACGAGATGCTCGATAGCCGCAGGTCCCGAGTTGCTGATCGATTTTTTACCAAGGCGATGGGTGGGTATCAGCTGCGGTAATATTCATAGAAATGAGCTTGCAATATTATTTTGAGAATGCTGTATTCGTAATTGAAGTAAACGGCTCCAAGTTAACGGAAGATCCGTCCGCATCCCGTCCGTATGTACGGATAGATCACCCGTCATCGGGTCCCGCAGAGAAGGATTCGGCAGGGGTTTCCCCGGTGTGTCCCGCATCCTTCCCACTGTCTCCCGTCGTTCGGTGACGCTCCAAGGTCAGCCGGGGTGAGGCGGGGTCAGACGAAGGGAGAGAGAGAGAGAGAGAGAGAGAGAGAGAGAGAGAGAGAGAGAGAGAGAGAGAGAGAGAGAGAGAGAGAGATAGAGAGAGAGAGAGAGAGAGAGAGAGAGAGAGAGAGAGAGAGGAGAGAGGGAGGGAGGGCCAGTGTTGTTCGCCCCCGTACATAGACCGTACCGGAACGGAGCTGGGTGACTGGAGGGCCGCCAGTCACGAGTCCCGGTTGCTGCGTCACGGGACGGGTGTCACAGGGACTGACACAGTCACGGCTGCAGCACAGGGATGCCTGCAGTAGCTTCAGACCTGCAGTCGTCGTTGGTGCCACCACACCAAAGCAGCGCGCGCACCCTAAATCGACTGTCGCCTCGCTCCATTTAAAACGCGATGTTTGCAGTGCTCTCACAGTCGTATCAAAGCATCGCACGGATGAATAAAAGCATCGGTGTATGAGCATATCCTCACCGCTGAGCAAACGCACAGCAATGGCAAATGAGCAAACACTTTTCATCACCATAGCAACAACGATTTGGGACACAGACACAGTCATCCTCCTCTTCCACTTACCAGAATAGGCATGTGAGCCACCAGCCTGCTGCACTACCCAAACACACCACGCCCTCCGACCACGCCCCACGCCCCCCCCCCCCCCCCCCTCCATTCCCCAGACAACGCCCCCCCCCCCCCGAGGAGCCCCCTCTCTCACCGGTGGACGGCGGTGTGCCAGGCGGCCGTGATCATCAGGTTGATGGGCACGTCCACGGGTACGATGTCGGCCACCAGGTTCTCGTCACAGAGCAGTGTGCGCATCAGACCCTTCCCGGAGCCGGCGATCAGACCCGTCGGTCCGTTGAAGTTGTCGATCCAACCCGGAAGAGGCTCCTTCCAGGCGCAGGTGACTGCAAAAGGCAATGGACATAGTCAGCAGGGCTCTATTGGGACGAGTGAGATGAGTGAATGGCGGCCAAATGGCGCTATATCCATATCAATAACTGTCAGTGGCATTTTAACCCGCGCCCCGTAGGGCTACCGGCGGACCCTACCACCCCGTAGGGGGGGGGGGGGGCCGTTTCGGCCCCCCCCTAAGATCTCGGAAAGTTACCGGCCGATTTTCAAAATTCAAACGGCGTTCGATAGCCCCACCCGGGAACTACCTTTTGACCAAATTTCATTAACCTAGGTCAAACCGATGACGTCACAGGTCAGGTCAAAGGTCAGATTTTCACCGTTCACAGGCAATTCAAGAAATGTGCTGTGAAAGCGAGTAAATTGGTAATTTATTGAAAACCATCGATGGTACATTGTTCGTCAAACACATACTTTGCTATCTGAGGTCACTGATACCAGGTCAGGTCACAGCGAGGTCAGGTCACCGGGGGTCACAATATGAATGTGTCGTGTGATACATGTTTTATGGTCCATTTTACATGACAAATGCGATTATGTGGGTTAGGCAGCCTTTGGGGCCAGCCTAGGTCACGTTTTTGTGAAGGTCAGGTCAAGGTCAGGTCAAATTAGGTCAAATTTCAAAGTTGATATTTTTGCATAAAATGGGTATCGATTCGATGCAGCTCGTCACGAGGAGTCTAATGGTGGTCTTCGTTTTGCTCTACGAGTTCTAGAATGGCCAAAAATTGAGTTTGAAAATTTGACGTCATCATTTTTGAACAGTTTTTTCGCTATAACTTGGCCAAGAAATGAGGTATCGATCTGAAATTTGGTATGTAGATAGAAGACGGTAGGCACTATCACATATATTCCGGTTTTTTCGAAACTCAAAAAACTTTTTGGATTTTTTGGCGAATATATCCAAAAAAATGCTTTTTTGATTTTTGGGGGTCAAAACTCAAAAATTTCAAAAATTCGAGATAGCAGTTTTGTAGCCCTGTCAATTCTACACCTTTTATGTCTTGATCATTTTTCTGTATCTTCAAAGCTGTAGTCCTGACAGGTCTTCTCGCGAAGGTCTTTTTTCGGTCGAAAATGACAGAACATGACGTCACTCTGACGTCATTTGTGGCCAACCTATCATAGCCTCTGGAAAAATTTTTGGTCACAATGTGTAAAATTGATGCCCGGAGGGGTCCTGAAAGTTTGGTGGCGATATCTCCAGCCGTTTAGGAGATATCGACCGAAAAGGACAGGGGGGGCCGTTTCGGCCCCCCCCCTACGGGGCGCGGGTTTTAAATGAAGGAAGTTCCTGCGCCACCGTCGAGTATGTGAAAAATGAAGATGCGTAGCGTTTAGGCCTGGAGCACACATGTCGAACCTAGAATAAGGTCAAGAATACCGCCTACGTGTGGTATGCGGAAAAGCTTCGTGTTCGTATAGCCGATGCTAAGCGACGGCTTGAATAACACATGGAGGTGCTTACAAGCTCGAGTGCATCTGCTGCGAACTAGATACACCATTGAATTGGCACGGCCGGCGCGGCGTACCAGGATGTTCTACAATCATGAGGTCGTTGGCGGTCCCACCATATCCAATATCCGCGCCGGAGGAGGAGGAGGGGTCAGCGGGTAAACGCGCCGCACAGGGCGGGCGGTCACGTACGGCCTTTTGTGACCCGGAGCTAGCCCTCCCCAGCCAGCCATTCAACGAGCTGGTCTGGCCCGTGGCGGTTCTGCAGTGCAGGTGCAAATAGACGGTTCATTTGGTCCTCCAGCTCCCGAAGGTCTATCAAATAGACTCGTTCGGTCTTTAACCTCCGGCGGTACACATAAAAGACTTATCGGTCATTGAACTATCGAGGGCGCAAAAAGCATTTATCCACACCCGATGGGTAATTCTTATTACGACTGGATACCGTCATCCTTCTATCAGATCACAAACCCTTCCTCCCTCGACCCCGTCACTGACGATAGTCCGAGTCACCCTTCCATCTGTCCCCTCGGCCCCCCTGACAGCTGCCGTCCGGTGTCGTCGCTGGCACGTCGCCCGCTCGGCCCAGACGCGGCCACATCCCGTCCTCTCTGCGTGCTCCTGGCACGGTCAGCGTTCACGGTGCCGACAGACCTCCGAACACACCGTTAGCCGAGCCGAGCACACAGGAACACACAGACGTGCAGACAGAACACACACGGATGCGGGAGCAACGACACATTCATGTGTGATTGGCGCTGTTTGCCGATGACGACCGCCACGGAAGGCTTCGAGCCTGATCCCGTTGGAGCGTGAAGGTCTCGGTGTGGTGGCACTAAGTCCGAGCGGTTTAACGACTCGATAAAATGGGCTCGTCACCTGCAGCACCCTTCTGGCCGGCCTTGAGATCGCAAAGCGGTCGGCCGAGTGTTTGCCATGGTGGAATCGTTTCCGGCACCCCACCTGCCGTCAGAGGTCGCCCCTGAGTGTCGCTTCATGTGATCCCTCCCGAACACGGCTACCTAGAAGGGCACTGGAAAGCCCGGCTTCCGGGCCGCTGTTACAATCAGCGTGCACTAATGTGTTGACTAAAGGACAGGACCGAGCCCGGCTGCTGTAGTCAGAACACTTGATTAATCGACGCTCCGTCATGAGGGTCGGGAGCCAGAGGACGCCAGCAACGGTGCTCTAATATGCCTACCTACAGCTAACGATTTAACCCTCGCACGACCAGGCCATTTCTCATAACACGAACGACCAGGGGGGGGGTTGTTACGACCCCCCCCCCCCTGGCGTTTCGAAACGGAAGGTCGTAGAGCTTAGCGGAAAAAACCAACGGATTGCTCTCAACGAGATCTCGCGATTGGTGGTATATTTTTTGGTCCTAGGTCAACATTTGACCTACTTATGACCGGTCAAAGGTCAAATTTTCCGAAAAAATCAAACTTTTTCAACTTTCCGCGGCGATTGCGGCAAAACGGTGGGAGATATCGACTTGAAACCTTCACTATCGTGTTCCTTGATCAATTCTCTATCGTTTGGTATGTATTTCGTTTCCCTAGCTCTAAAAATGGCGCGTTGGGAGCGCCGGAAGTCGGCAAGGTCACAGTCGGCGGCAGAAATTCGAAAAATCAAAATTTAAATTTTTTAAATCTGATTCTATTTTTGGATTTGGGAGGTCCATTTGCTCCATATAGAAGCTAATATTGCTGCATATTCCCATTGAGGTGACAAGAATTAGCAAAATAGTGGTTCGGGCGCTTTTCAAAAATAGTACCGGACGCTGTTCCTCTTGTGACGTCATAGCTCCGTGACCTGACCTGACCCGGTCAATTTTCTTGCACCACACGATAGCCAATGCTTGCCTCAACATGCATGGGAAGTTTCATCATGATCCATCAAACAATGTGGGTATCACCGGCAGAAAACCTAGGGATTCGGCGCACACGTTTGGTAACTGTCGGCCGGAGGCTGTACCTCTTATGACGTCATAACTCCGTGACCTGACATGACCCGATCAATTTTTTTTTTCGGCAAAAGATGCGCAAAGGTTGCCCCAGAGGGTATTGAAAATTTCAGCCCGCTACGACAAACCGTTTAGCGTGCACTTCGAAAAAACCTCAGGGGGGGGGTTGATACAACCCCCCCCCCCCCCCCCTAGGCGTTCTAGGGTTAACTACAACGATGAAACGACTCACGATCTGACGGCAACCATTTGACGACAACGATTTGACGACAAGGATACAAAGACTGGCGATATATCGATAAACAATTCGCGAAAGAGTTTACCATTTGTGTTTTCATGAAGGTCGTTGCTGCATTATAAGTTCTTAGCCCCATCCGTTTTAGCTGCTAATTCCGACTACAGCTCATCAGTGAGCGGAAAGGCTTATTTCAAAATCCACCCAAATCCTCCCGACAATGCGGCATCCTTTCAGTAAGACCTCCACCGCCCACCGTGGACCATATTACCGCTGACCTGTATCTTACTATACAAAAGCATCTGTTCTCGGTCACGGCCCCGGTCGGCGACGTCGCGCCGACCCACAGCTGCCAAACCACTTGCACTCTCAGCCGCCACCGGCCCCGGTCGGCAGCTCCGGTCGGCGCGGCGGGCCATAGTGATAACAGCAGGGCGGGTCGGCACGCGCGAGCCGCCGCACCGGCCCGCCGGACGGTCACAGCCCGGCTGACGCCGCTGCTGACAGGGCAGGGCGCCGCCGGCGAGAGGCGGAGACCAGCCCGGCGTGAACGATTCGACGGCATTCAGAGCCGACCCGAGAAAATCCCCAGACGAGGGCGGATCAGCGGCTATTTTTGGGCCGGCCGTCGCGGTCACGATGTTGCCTGGGTGATGAGTTCATGGGACCTTGACCTGGCATATACAAGGGGTGTTTTTTGACGAGGCTTATAAATCTGCCGACCAGTTCATGGTGAAATAAGAGACCAGAATAGCAAGCTTTTCAATTATATTCCAAAGAGTCCACACTTTTCCAGGAAGCCAGCCCAGCACTGTGCATTGTGCAATATCTAAGCCCAAAATCATGAAATGCCCAGCTCAATAAGCCGTACCTACTGTTCTACTCCTCGACTTCAGAATATCTCGTGCCAGAATCTGAGCGCGGAAAGGTCTCGTTGCGAACGTCAGAGGTCCGTCTAAGTGCCCCCGCGCCGGTCACCGGTCATCGGCGTCGTCCCGGCGATTCTCACGGGTGAAAGTGAGTCGGCGCCGTGACCTAGACATTCGGGCGTGGCGGGCAAGGCCGCCGTCGCCCGGGGCCCAGGGATTCCTGCGCGCCGGTGGCCGCAGCAGACTTTCTCCCCCGCTCGGCGATGCGGTCGATCGCCCCTGCAGCTGCACCCTGTGCCGGAGCAGGCGAGGCAGACGGGGCAGGCGAGGCAGAATGGCTTACGGGGCCCAGGCGAGGCGGGCGGCATACGGGGCATTATAGGCGGTATAGGTATACGAGTACCTCTATGTCCAACACACAATTGGATGGCCCAGGGTGACCCATAAATTGGTTTTCGGGCTCCAGTT